ATCTTTCAATCTCAGGTTCTTATGACTCTATATTTGTGATAGTAGATCGTTTTACCAAGATGGCACATTTTGTACCATGTACAAAATCTATCACAGGTGAAGAAATAGCTAAGCTCTTTCTTGACAATATCTATCGCTATTATGGATTATCCAAGGATATTATATCAGATAGGAGAACTCAATTTATATCAAGATTTTGGCGGACTCTTTTCAAGATTCTTAAAGTGGATATAAAACTATCTTCGGCATTCCATCCTCAAACTGATGGACAAACGGAGCGTGTTAATCAAGTTTTGGAGCAATATTTAAGATGTACTATTAATTACCAACAAGATGATTGGACAACTCTTTTGCCATTGGCAGAGTTTGCTTACAATAACACGGTACATTCTTCTACAAAACAAACACCTTTCTTTGCTAATTATGGTTATCATCCACGACTTCATACTTTTGACTTTTCAAAAGTTGATAATCCTGCTGCAAAAGATTTGGCAATTCATTTATCAGAGCTACATGCAACGATGAAGGCGCAGTTAAAAGAGACTCAAGAACAACAAAAGGCCAATGCGGATGTCTATCGAAAGGAACAACCATCATTCATCTTGGGTGATAAGGTATGGCTACTTCGTCGCAATATCAAAACCACTCGTCCTTATGACAAGTTGGACTATCAAAGGCTAGGACCATTTTCTATTTTTGCACAAATCAATCCAATTGCATATCGTTTAGATCTACCAAAATCAATGAAAATCCATCTAGTATTCCACGTATCTCTTCTTGAATCATACAAGACAGTGGACATACCAAGAAGACGACAAGCTCCACCTCATCTTATAGAAGTGGACAATAATGAAGAGTTTGAAGTAGAAGAAATCTTAGATTCAAGGCGGCACCAAAATAAATTAGAATATCTTGTCCATTGGCGCGGATATGGTATTAGTGAACGCACATGGGAGCCATTAAAGAATCTTGCAAATGCAGCAAAGGCAGTGGAGGCTTTTCATCGACGACATCCATCAAAATCAAGATGAAAACCTTCTTTATAAAAGAAACAACATCTAGGCAAGATAACATTCTACTTTCAATTCTTATTCATAGCTTCATTGTAGTAGTGGCGCTCAGGAGATGGAGAACCAACAATCAGCGAATTCAACTCAAGAGCCTTCATTTGCTCACCTGCCGGACGAGACATTACAATTGTCACAACCTCCAAGACGACACAATCGAGCTAAAGATCTTCAAGAACGATATGTTCTTCCTCGAATAGATGGTGAGATACAACGCGTTTCGTATCACGATTTGGGAAGGGACTCCCGATGTTTGGTGATTTTGCTAGAGGTAGGAACAACTCCTGATGGTGTTCCAAATATTCTATTCGAAGGAAGTTACGAAGGCCTCAACAATGATCAAATAATTGGGTAGTCTTCCCGCCCTGGTATCGGACACTACCGATGGTTGAGAGGCCCTATCAATCATCTTCGAAGAGAACAGAGATCAGAGTATGTGGCGATTACAATTCGTCGCATCATAGATTTCTTCAACATATGATGACCGCTCCTCGTGGAACTCGTCCCTAGAATGAGGGATAATGTCACGGCCATAATCATGTAAGCTAATAATTACATATAGAAATAGATAGAAGTAAGTAAAAGTAGGTAAAAGTAAGTTAATTCTATAATATTTAATATGGAAGCTTCCTAGAAACTTCCTAGACACTGCTTTGACTTCATAGGTGTCTTTAATTGACTTTTTGGATTAGAAACGTGGTCAACAAGTTGGCCATGTGCCACACATGTTGTTAGCTTAAAGATCAAGGTAACTATGTGGCCCACACGTAGATAAACTTGCCTTGTAAGTCAAGGCATGTGCCCTACAAAGTCAACACATATTGGAGGTCCTATAGAACGTCGCCACGTAGCTCTTAGTTAGATAGTATATATAGAGACAAGAGTGAAGGCTTCTTCACTCTTGTCAACTCCTTTCTTGCTTCTAGTCTAGTTTCAAGGGTCTCTAGTTTTCTTGTCTTTTGGCAATAGCCATTCCAGTTCCTCTTTCAATATGTATACTTATTTATATATATTTTGTTACCTCTCTTTGAGTGAAGGCTCACTTGTCTGAATTGTTTTTTTCATCGAGTTCTTGTCCTTGACACTTGGTAAGGTTCAAGATTATAAACTCGTCTTATTTTCCTAGTGCTTGAATTTTGATGTTTTGGACAACTTCTCATTTAATGGCCTAGCAATAGAAACATAATGTCTTTTACACCAATATTTGTCATCTTTGTGGTGTCAATGATCCTTGTAGGACATTAATTTCCAATGTGTTGGTTGTTTTGCCATAGTATTAAATAGCAGCATAGAACTTTGTGCGATAGATTGTGCTTCATAATTTTTGAAATCTATAGCATCAATTGTCTCTGCAATCCAAATTACCTCTTTAAATGTTTGTGGATTTCTTAGTTCAACCTCTCGCTCGACCTCAAGTTTCAAACCTCGTAGAAATTGATCCATCATCTCTGCCTCCAAAATAATGTTAATTTGAAGACATAGAGACTTGAATTAGAAGACATAATCTTGCACCGACCTAGATTGTGTAAGATCTACTACATAATCGAGTGTTATCTTTTCTGTATTGATGGGCCAAAATTGATTCTTAAATTTGGTCTCAAATTCCTTCCAATTACAAAATCCACCTTAAGCTCCATAGTTTTAAATTCAATATCACCACCAAATGGCTATTATATCTCTCAAATAATTGGCTGCATACATAATTCTTTTAGTGATATTTGTCCCAAAAAATTGGAAGTATTGTCACATGTTGAAGAGCCATTGATATGCATCTTCTTGTCTTAAAGTCCTAGAGTATGTACTAGGCTTATTCAATTTTAGCGTAGCAAATGTCGACTCCCTTATCTTCGAGGCTTCTATTTGCCTCTGCAAAGCAGCTATCTGGCCTAAGAAGTGTTGTATTTGAGCCTCTATTTGGGATTTCTCTACCATATCTCCAATGTTGTAATTTTTTCATTCAGATCTATTATTGTAATGCCTTCTCTAGTACTAAGTGTGACCACAACAACTAAACCTTGGACTAGATAATGACTATTTTATCAAAATTTAATTTAATTTTCTTATGTAGTTTGAATAAATATATATATATATATATATATATATATATATATATAATGAATATATATATATATATATATATATATATTCAAAATAATGTATTAACTTTGAAAACTTGTATATATATATATATATATATATATATATATTTATAAATATAAAGGTAACATAAGTCAATACATCAACATACATTTAGTACTTTGAAGAAGTTGCTTCAATATTATTAAGATTTAGGAATTGAAAGGGACATGTCATTTAAGAGTTAGAAACTTCTTATATTTTTTTTACATTAATCTAAGGTTATATTAAAAATAAATAATATAAAAGATAATGATGTACACAAATGGAAAATATTTTAGGTTCTAAAATTGTTATCGATGATGATTTGTAATCCAAAAATAAAATTGACATATTTAAATGAGTGTTTTAAAGCATTTTGAATTTTCAATAAACTATAATAATTCAATTTTAAAATATAAGAATAATTTGGTTCAAAAAGTGGTATAAATTTGTATTTATTGGAGACAAATAGGATTCTTTTCTTCTAACAAATAGTTGGTAATTACATAGATATGTTTTAAACTATCAAACCTTGCTTAAAAAGTCAATAAGGTACTTCTTATTGGATTTAGCCAATTACAAATAGTCAATTAAATATGAAAAGTTCTAAAGTTGATAAAAATTGAGGAAATTTTTCATTTGAAAAAACACCTACAATAATAAAATTATAAAAATTAAATATAAATAAGTAAAAATAATCAAACTTAAATGATGATAAGTATAAAATAACTTCATATGAAACAATTGTATCAAATTTATAAAAATACATTAGAACTTATAATGCTTTTACATGTGTCTTTTGCCTTTGAAAACTTCTTATAGAAGAAAAACCATGTTTAACTATTGCATCACTTTATCCATATATTCTGACAGTTCAACTGTCCATATTTCTTAGATATATATTAATTCAAAATAATTAAATTGTTTTAGCAACTACGATTGAACATTTTATAATTGCAATTACCTAAGATATACTTCTCTGATTTTTTTGAAAATTTCAACAATTATATACATATCTATTTTTGCTTCATATATATGAAAAATGTGTAAATATCTATTAAACAAAAGTGAAGAATCATCCACCTTTTAAACGTTATTGATTTATTTCAATTTGGTTCTATTACATAGAATTCTAATTATTGCTCAAATTAGCAGAAATTTAAGCACAAAAATACTTTTAATTTGGCATCAAACAAAACAATATGTGGTTTTCTAATAGATTTAATGGAGCAACTATAAAATTTATTCCAAGAAGTATCCAACTCTTCTATTGATAAAATATTGATAAACTTTATTTCTAGAAATAATTTTATCAAATCATTAGCACTATTAAGGATTTTATGGAATAGTTTAATTTACGAAGTTACTTATAAATATTACAAAATATCCATATATCTTACGTTTTAGAAACTATATATTTTTTGTAACTAAGTGAAAACTTAGACATATACATTCAATTTCTAGCATTGCAAGCCACGAAACCATGTTTCAAACACATCTTTATTTACATACATGGTTGCAATCATAGTTACACTTCGATGCTTCCATGTAATAAGGATAATCTAAGTAGATAATGTGATTGTACAAGAATCATGTCTTGTAGATTTTATGAAAATATTACTACTAATGACAATCGACTTATTAGTATATTTTCTACATCATAAATATTTCAAAATAACAAGTGATATAATTATCGAACTCCTTCAAAAGATTTCAATATGTACATACAGTATTTCTTTAAGATTATTATTGCAATAATTTATAGTAGAGTTTCAATACAAACTACATTTCCTAATGACATAAATTAATGTTAACTTGTGAAAAAATAATTATCCAACATAGAATTCGTATTATTAATTTAACAAATATCATGACATATTTTCAAGATTGAAAATATTTACTATGCTCCATGGTGAGACAGAACTCAAATCACAAAAGTCCTACATACTTAGAGAAGCGGACATGACTTAAAACCCAAAATTGTTATGATAACTGATAACCACCCCACGTAACATAACGTATCTACTTGCGACAAACAGTTGGACATCTTTTAAGATTAGGTGTACAATGATTGTCATGTGACATCCACTCGGACCAGTATTCTAAGCCACTTAGCACTTCACTTCCTTCAAGGCGTCACCGAAGTAAAGGAAAGTGGGATTGGCCGCTCCATCCTTATAGTAAGCAAAGACTATTGTGGAATCGTCCTTCATGCTCTCACCAACGAAACTGCAAAAATTTAAAGAGGATCAAGCTCCGAGTACATAATCGAAAAGGTGACTTACTGACCTGGATGAAAATGTTAAAAAACGCAAGGAAAATAACCCCGACATTGGCTATCTGGCATGCTCACAAGCTAAAATCGCCCTGTGAGGAAGGTAAGGGAATCGGAACTTACAACTGCAAATCGGAGAGTTTAGAAAGCAGAAACTTGACTGCAGCTTCCACATCCTTCTTGAAGGATGCCTGGCGTTCCGCTGGCACAAGGTCAGTCAATTTCTTCAAGTACTTCTTTATATAAGCCATGAAGGTCTTCTTATCGAAGGCAGGTTGCTCCTGTAGTCTGAAGGTGTCGATAATGTCGACAACCTTGACAGCCTCATCACTGACGCCCTCATCCTCGCCACCTCCTTCGGCAGAGGCATTGGCTCCAATCAGGGCATCAACATCTAGGGCGCCCTTCACAACCCACTGAAAGACAGTGACGAGGATTAGCTCAGAAGGCACACGAAGAACATGTACATGTATTCGAGGGGCATCAGGTGTAGGAGAATACAAGATGTGGTTTGGTATTCTCTAGACGTAAACTCGAATCTATGTACAACACTACGATGAATGAACACATCACATACACTCGAGATTAGAAAGTTTTTCCGCGAAAAATGAGGAAACCTCGCACCTTCCCCTCAACTTCCCAAAGCACACCGTTAAAGAGCTCCTTGTACTCGAAGGAATCCGAGAGGAGCTCGTCTCCTGCAAAACCGTCGACGGCACGTCATTACAAAGCTATTAAGCAACCCACACATACGAACTCCAGCGATCCACATCTAAAAACCTTCATTCTCAAACTACCTGAAAAGTGACTACAAGCGCAAGAAGAACCCCAAAGATTCCTACAAAGAACTAGAATCAAAACGAGATCTCACAAATAAACACAGAGCCACAACCTGTTGCAAAACCCTAAGAATGCTCGCCAACTTCAAAAATCCCACACTGAACCAAACGAGGCGTCAGAAAAGACCATCGAAAGAGGAGGAGGAGGCGGTGGTACCTGAGATCAAATCCTGGTAGACCAACATGGTGAGAAGATGCAGGATCCCTTGGGGCTCGAGGGAGGAGTCGTGGGAGAGCGGGGCGGCAACTGAAGCTCCGGAGTGAGACGAATGCCTGCGTGAGGGTTACCGGCGGCCGGCTTTATGATCCCTACGCCGCCCCAAATGCTCTCTGCCGCTGCCGCGCCAGTGCGTCTGTTGGCGTCTCGTGGAGGACGACACGGAAAGAGCCTGCGGAAGGAATATATTGGAACTGGGTCTCCACCGTTCCACTTTTACTTTTTTACCCAACTTTTGCTTCCCCATAAGCCCCTTCCACTATTATTGTTTGTATATTCTTTAGTGAACTCATTTGAAAGTATCAACTATAAAATTTTTAATTTAAGTATCGAACTAATAATACGTACATGCATTTACAAGTAATTTTTGCAATGTAAAATATTGTATTTAATTGCACAATTTGTAATTAGATAGTTGTGATAAAAATGTATATTCTAATCGAAAATAAAATAATTTATTGGTGCATTAAGTGATATTGCTGGAAAAAGCCGTGTGTGTGTAATTAGTAATTTTAATAAGAAATGAAAAAATCCTAAGAATAATAGTTTCAATATACTTTTTAATTTATAATTGTTTAAGATTTATTTAGGAAAAGATATTAGAAAGCATTTTCTCTTTGAGATTTTGAGTCTTGTGAAGTGTTCCATCATTTTAAACGTCCATTTATTCATGGAATTGTTCTATAAATTACTTCTATATGTAATATATTTGTTAGATGTAAAGAATCAGGAACTACAAAAAATGAACAAGGATTTTTAACATTAGCAAATGAGCATACAAGATTTTGTTCGAATTTGTAAGCATTAGAGAAAATTACTGGGTTTCATCAATAATAATCACATCATCATTTTGACATCATACAGAATTATTATTATTATTATTATCTTCTAATTTGTTGCTCAACAAAGATTTGATGTTGTGGAAGTTATTACAAGCTAAAAGTAATCTAAAGTAGCACATTTCATTTTGTGATTATGGAAATATAATATCTTAGGCAACAAGGTTCGTATTTTGGTGGTCGGTACAGGCATGGAAAGATCGAGATTATGCTGAATTTTAATAACACTTCTTTGATTTTTGAGAATTATACGTATTGGAGCAAAGTTTTCGACCCCTGTCACTGAGGAGCAAAATTTCTCCTTCTACAAAAGTTTGCCTCCGTATAAAACAACATTGTTCAGCATTGAAACAATTCACACCACATGGCTGATCATTTTCCACAGCATTTGGCGAAAAATCAAGTGATCTGAAAAGTATAGTTCTGTTTGCAACGTCTGCATGGAAACTGGTTGAAGGTTCCACATGACGCCGATATCATCACCGACACAAAGTGTTGACGATAAACCTGGTTTTTTATTCGGTGTAAATGGTCCTCAGTGGGTGCTTTTACAGGACCCAAGTTGACTATGGCTCTTTCCATGGTCAGCTAGTCTCTCCAACTCTTGATCAGATTCTAAAAACCTTCAGTATGTTAGTGAATTGCAGCAATGACTGCGTCTTTCTTCGGTTTGCAGAACCTTCGGTATAGTAGGGTAGACCATACTTGTAGGAGAAGACAGGAAACCCGACGTTCTAGTGGGTTCGACCATTTCTGATCCCACATCGTCCAGGTTGGTGAACCGCTATCTACGGAGCTACGCATTGAGTACCGCGACACCAAAGAAAGGCCGTCCTGATCTGTTTTCTGAATACTAAAATATCAATCTCGAATCCCTTGAACTGCAGAATTCGAAGTTCAATTCAGAGATGATTAGACACCCCTTACAAAACCCGCCCACTCAGAAATAAAACGAAGTGTTCATGTGACAGATTGGAATCGTCATAATCAGCCGATGATTGACCTGACAAAACGAGGAAATTAACCAGAAGAACCACGGGGGATGCGAATTAGGAGGAGTAAGGCGATGACATCGCACAGAGCGATATCACACATGTATATCCAAGACCGAAAACTGGTTGTTTGAACTTCAGAGAGAGCGTTTTGCCTCAAGCAGTCGATGTGAACCAAGTAAATGCTCGGCCAACGCTCAGAGCAGAGAATCGGGTTTTATGAGAGTGCATTCAGTGCATCTGTCAATACAGGCGTCTTAGCGAGATTTGGAATTGTCTCAGTAATAGCAGTTTCGATTGAAGCATGTGACAAATTCAAGGTAATTAATTGGCAAATGAGTAGCCCCACAAGGCAAATACCTCCATCGTCATCCTCCAACACCAAGCTAGATCAAAAGCTGTGGGGATATCTCGACCTCTGCATCAGCACTCAGGGTTCTTGGGGTGGGTCACACCTGTAGCGGTGGATTTCTAATGGGCCACACTTCAGATCTGAACGACGATCACCTCCTACGGTCAGAGTCTCAGATGAATTTGTTGCTAAACTCCGAGCCTCAAACGGAGTACTTCCTACACTCTCAGTCTCAGATAGCTTTGAGGCTCCCGCAGCAACAACGCCATCATCTTCAACATGGACCGATGACTGCGCTGCTTGCAAACTGCCTGCATAAGCATTATATTGGAGTGGTTTGAGGCGATCTATAATCGGGTGAATCGATAAATCATCCAGACTGCAGTCCAAACCAGAACGACGAAGTTCTTGTGCGCTCAAAGCCTCAAGTGAATTTTTATCTACAACAGTAACAGCGCCCTCATCTCCCACATGTACCGACATCTGCGCCGATTCCGACCTGCCTCCTGAGGCCTGCTCTTGGAGTGGGTCCACGCACCTGAAGCGGCGAATTTCCAGAGGTCCACAATTCAGGTTGGAGCGTTCGATCATCCGACCTTCTCCGTGCTGGAGAACTTGGGAAAACAAAAGAAGAACCAAAAAGAGAGCCCATGTCATGATGATCTGTGTCACAAACCACACTACACGCCAGTAGCGTTTAAACATATGAGGCAGCACGGGCCGAATTGCAGCTGAGAAGCACGACCTCGATTCCCCAGGGTTCTTGGGGTGGGTCACACCTGCACAGATTCTTTAAAAGCCTCTCAACCAACCCAAAAAATCACATAGTAAAGCATCGTAAAGCAGAAGTTTTAAAACTGGAAGCAGAGAGGATACAAAATCCTTCACAGAAACAATCAGGAAAGGTTCAAGCGAGATAAAAATATCCACAAGTACCTGAAAGTGCAGGGAGCAAAGAGAGAATGGGAGAATGAGGCTTAGCGCTTCTGAACCCAAGCTTTATATGTTTTGGAGTTGTAGAAATGTTCTGAACTTTTTGCGCCTTCATACCACCGACACCCCACCTCTGCATTAAGATCCCACTCGATTCTACTAGTGATAGTGATGTATATTCCATTCCAGGGGCAACTGAAAGCTATGGGTTTGTTTAAAAAATATGCTTTGATATGGTCACGACTCGTGAGAGACACTCGCCGAGAAGTTTCTATGCAAGGAATATACCTACTGCCGATTTGTGTTTGAGTTCAACTTGGGCCCACGTCTAATAGAAGCAACGACTGCAATGGAATAACCGTATTATCAAAATATCCCAGAAAATAGGCCCTAATGTGACTTGAAATGCGAGATATTAAAAAGAAATAAATCAATCAATAAGGCTTTTTTGGAACTCCAATTCCTCTTCGAGTCGAGAACACTCCAGATCCGAGCAAGGGCTAGTTGACATGTCAATCACTCTTCACGATTCTCAAGAAACGAAGCAATATCAATCAGCATCTGCTCCGCTATCTCGATCTGCTTGAGCTGGCCGAACATATGGACGCCATCCTCGAAGAAACAAACCTCAACTTTTTTCCCAATGGTCACCATTTCCTTCACATATTTCATCTGCGGTCGTTACACACAAACATTCACAATTTTTTGTAAGTGAGAAATCCGAACCAATCACAAGAAGCATAAGATTATGAGACCCAAGTGATGAAAGAGCTCGCCTGCCATTCTTGCAGAGGGTCGAGACCTCCAACAATCACAAGCACAGGGGGGATTGCGACATTTGAAATGTCCCTGGAATATGGTCCGAAAACATTCGACGCAGGATGGTCTCGATTAGAATCTGGAGGAAGGTAAGCCTTCCAATACCAGTCCAAGAGCTCTAGTGACACAATCAGAGGATCTTTCATTTGGAGCTCTGCGGCGGTCCTCTCTTCTCCCCCAAAGAAGGGCTGGATCAATACCAACCCCCTTAGAGTCAAAGGGCTGAGGTCCTTCCCAGCTGCCAGAATTGCCACATGATGAGCAATATTCCCACCGGCACTATCACCGGCAAGATAAACCCGTGAAAGGTCAACGTTAGCAGGCAAGATTGCTTCTGCTTTTTCAGAATTGAGCCACTCCAAAACGGCGTAGCAATCGTTGTACGCAGTCGGACACTTATGTTCCGGAGCTCGCCTGCAACGGCAACAAATACCAAAACCTCAATTACTACATCAAGCAGCACTCAATCAGCACTCAAGCCTATATTGGAATCATTGCACCGGTAGAAAGAATTCGCAGGACAGATCCAATGGCTTGCCTGTAGTGCACAGAAACCACAACTGCAGAACATTTTCCTGCTAAACGCCGACAGAATTGATCGTATAAGGTAACGTTGGGTTTCATGAAAACAAACCCGCCTCCGTGGTAGTAAACGATGACAGGCATCATCTCATCAGCTTTAGGATTCAATTCTGAAGAGTCTCCTCCCATCCCCTGTGAGCAGACAAGCACCACTAGACATTCCAGTTCTGCCCCTCAAACCCCGAGCCTCAAAATCGCTCTGCGAGACTCAATTGCACCCCATTTCCTCTCATAGCTTCCAATTCATCAATTCAAGGTTGAAAGTGAGGAACGTGCGTGTGTGAAGTACCTGGGCAGGAACGAACACGCGCACCCAAATGCCCGTCTCTGCGTCCACAACCACATCGAAAGCCACGACCCCATCGGCTCGTTGGGGATTCGCTGAAATCACCCACTCAAACAGGTCTGCCAATTTGCGGTGCACGGTGCCGTCCTTCCGCCTAGGGATGGTACCCACCATGGCCAGAAAACGCGACAGAATGCGAAGCGCCCACATCGAAGTCATCTGCAGCAACAACAACAGCCCACAATTGAACGAGGCGAGATCGCCGAGAGATCATCCCCCAAAAACTGCTCACCCTGAAAAAACCCAATGCTCAAAATTCAGCAGGATGCTGCACTTGCCTCTTCTAACACCGCCCCGATGCTTACAATTTTGTGGGCTCCGCTTCAGGCAAAGAAGAGCTCCGAGCCTCCTCCTCCGCCGCCGTTTCTGCAATTAGGAACCACGAGATTTCTCATTGCAATGGAAAAATCTGATATGTGGAGAACAGGACTTACCCACAAATGGACAGCATGGTGATCCTTTTAACAATCCATTTACAAATATTTAATTTCTCAAACTGTGTTTGTTTGCTTGTTTTTGCATTTGGCGACCAAGTATCTACTTCTTCTAGCTCATCACTACTACAGTAGTGAGCTTCTTCTGCGTTAACAACAATGCAACCAAAAAAATCCAAAGTTTTAAATTTTAACTATTTGTTTGTTGTTGAGTTGCTCACCAAATTTCAGGCAATTACTGATCTTTTTTTTTTCCTTGTGTGGAGATGTATAGATGATATGCGGGAAGAAGTAAAAATGTTGAAGTTTGAGTTGGATATCTATTTTGTAAAATTGTAATGCAGTACCACATTCTTGAATGAAACAAATGTCCACTAAAACTTTTGTATCCTTCTTGGGTTTGAACTTGAAAGATGTCTGTTTATGAGTTTTTTTAATTTTTTAATTTTTTTTTTGTAACAACCTCAAAACCAAGCAAACAAATGAAAACTAATTACTTGGAATTTTATGTACATCGGGTGGAGCCTTGGAAGCAAATGATTCTATCTATTGTCTACTTGTTGCTCTCTCAAGTTTAAATGCACCAAAGTGAATATTGGATGATACCAAAACCATTCTTTTTATATTAATTTTATATTTTAATGAATAGATATGTTTTGGAGAGGCTTTTTACATAAGTGTTCACTTTATACTTTAGGGACTTTTGATTCAAACATGAGTAGTAGTGCCAAGTGGAGTTGCTTCTTCAAGTGTTAATCTTAATTATAATATTTTGAGATATTGCATTATGGGCACATAAAGTTTTGAGATATTGCATTATGTACATTAGAAATTTTTAACCTTGCAAAAAAAAAAAAAAAAAAACAAAAAAAAACAAATTATCTAATCTAATACCCAAATTGAGAGCAATTTCTTGGTGGCTATTTTCATGTTAAAGTAAAGATGTAATTATAAATGTCAATATCTTCTACATTAAATAAAAATTAAGTTTTAAAAAATAACTATAAAAAAATTATTTGACAAGCATAGATTTTGGATGTTCATAAATTTGGAACTTTTTTGTACCATATTAATTGTGGTTCTTTTTTTTCTAATAAATAATTATTAAAACAATCCTTGCACTATTGTCATTTTTTCAATTTTATTTTATTTTTAAAAATTACATTAAAAAAAGTAATAATCATATAAACCTATTCTTCCCCCAAAGGCAAAGATTATTTTTACATTCATTTTCCAGTGTCCTGCACAAACAATAACCCGGTGGCAGCTAAAAAAAACACACGGCTGACCGCGGGCAGTAGTCCCAGAAAGATAGAGAGAAAAAGAAAAAAAAAGAAAGAAAAAAGCCAACGCCAAGGGAGCAGATGGATCGGAGGAAAAGAGGGTATCCCAGAAGCAATACTTTGTTTTCTGTTGCAATGCAGAGAGAAAGAGGGTGCCTTCGTTTCGCAGGAGAGCTTGAAGCATTGCTCGAAGCACAGGACAACGCAGAAGCATAAGAAGAAGTAGAAGGAGAGAGAGATCGGTAGTATCGCCAAGGGAAGGAGCAATGTGGAGGTTGAAGATTGCCGAGGGCGGGGGAGGAGGAGGCTTGCCATTACGGACCTTGAATAATCACGTGGGGCGCCAAGTGTGGGAGTACGACGAGCATGGAGCAGCAGGCGATTTGGCGCATCGTGTCGCGGTGGACAAGGCGCGCGTTGCGTTCGCGGAGAATCGCTTCGAGCAGGCTCACAGTAGCGATCTGATCATGCGCTTGCAGGTTGGTTGATTTGTTGCCTCGGCCCGGGTTCCCCCATGTGTCTTTTTTTTTTTTTTTTTTTTTTTTTTTTGTATTGGGTTCTTTAGGAGTGATCGCTTGATGATGGGTGACGATTTGCTCTGCAAGTCTTTTGCTGGGCTTTTGCAGAGGGATCTCTAGAGAGAGAGGTTTTTCGTTACGAGCTGGAGAAAAGAAATCACTCTTTACTGTTCTTAGAGTAATACAGCTGGTGCATTTCATCATGCGTGACTAATGCACAGTGAGCATGCAATCACGTATTGTTCTCGCATTTTGCACAGTAGTGGGCTGCGACGCTCGACCTGATTGTCTTGGTGCCAACCGGAACAAGAAGTTGCATGTGTCTATCGTCTGCTTTTGGTTCAGATTGTAGTGACGCTCGCCGATTTCACCCTATTTAATAGTCAGGGATTGCGGATCAATCCAATGTCGAACAGATAACACCGTATCCTTTTCGTCTCACAATTTTCTCTTGACATTGAAAATTGCTGATTCAGTTTGCCAGGGAGAATCCGTTGCCTGAGCTCCCAACTCAAGTGAAGATTGAAAACCTCTCTGACCTTGATGAAGAGGCCGTCACCACCACTCTTCGTCGATCCATGCGCTTTTACTCGACCCTACAAGCTCACGATGGACACTGGCCGGGTGACTACGGGGGTCCCATGTTCCTCATGCCTGGACTGGTAATCATTTCATCTTCACATTTACCCATTTCGTCTGCCACTTTTTAAACAAAGCATTCAATAACTTCATTGGTTTTGCTTGTTGTAACTATGATACCCTCTAGAGATGCCAACATTTGAACCTCATATTGATGCTCTGATAAAGTAGCTGTTCTGTTATTTGGAGACAAAATATTAATCTGATGAAGATCCAGTCCTTCGCTTCTCCATCCAAATTTGTGCTGATTGTCATATGTTTATTATGGATGGATTTTGCTAGCCTGTACTAATTATTATGCATTGGTTCTTATGTAATAGGTTATTGCACTGTACGTCACGGGGGCACTTAACACTGTTCTAACTCCAGCCCACCAGAGTGAAATGCGCCGGTACCTTTACAATCATCAGGTACTTGGGTATTTTCCATCGTTTTGATTTACGTGTCCTTAGAGTCTACCTAGTCATGATCTACACAGCATACTGTACTCCTGGAAGCTGACAACATGAGTATGGACGTTTTAGAAACACTTCATCTGTTTTACTACCCGCGTGTTTCAATGCATTAAATGCTTTTGTGTAGTAGGTGGGACTACTATTGATGAAAGCCTGTCTTATTGCAGAACAAGGATGGAGGTTGGGGATTGCACATAGAGGGACACAGTACCATGTTTGGCTCTGTACTGACGTATGTTACACTGCGGATACTTGGTGATGGGCCTGAAGGGGGCGACTTTGATGCACTTCGACGAGGACGGAAATGGATCCTAGATCATGGAGGTGCTACGTATATAACCTCCTGGGGCAAGTTCTGGCTTACCGTAAAGTCCTAACTCTCATTCTCAAGCTCTTTCGTGTTCATCTAACCGCTTAAGATTTCAGCATCACCTATAAACTTTATTTCGCAAATGTAGACTTCTGAATGTAAACGGTATTCAAGACTCGGGTGCTTGTATAGTTATCAACCATGCTGTGGAACGGTTTGAATATATGATTAATCTCCTTGCAACCTTCGGTTTATCTGATGCCAGGTTCTTGGAGTATTTGAATGGTCAGGAAACAATCCCCTGCCTCCTGAAACTTGGATACTGCCGTATTTTCTTCCTATGCATCCAGGTGCACTACATCACATCTTTATGCAATTTCTTCAAGATATTTATCGTACCACATTGTTCGCATCGGCATGATTGAAATGCCGATGCCTGGATCAGAACTGTATTATAGAACGAGTTCCCTTTAGAATGACTTCCCTGTTTATATCATAGACGTTTCTTAAGGGTGGAAAACCGTTCCTGTGGAGACCGTGAACGCTCTAATCTGGTTTTGAAAAATCTCAGATGGTTATTGCTTTAGATATTTGGGGTTACAGGTCGGATGTCCAAATGTTGATATTCGTGGTTACAGGTAGGATGTGGTGCCATTGCCGCATGGTCTATCTCCCAATGAGCTACATATATGGCAAGCGATTCACTGGGAAAATCACTGAACTCGTGAAGGCAATTAGGGAAGAGATATTTGTTCAGAAGTATACTGAAGTAAATTGGAATGAGGCTCGGAATCTATGTGCGAAGGTACGTGCGCATGTAATTAGCTTTAATTATCAAAAATTACTTCGTAGTTAAGCTAACTGTGGTTGAATAATCAGTTTTTTTTTTTTTTTTTTTTTTTTTTTTTTTTTTTTTAATTTTTTTTTTCTTTTTCCGGTGGATGCAAACCATGATCCAGTTTACCCGTTTCTATGGCCATGTAGCAAAGATGGCTTAGCTGATGACACAACAGATCACAATTTGAAGTCATTTCAAGATGATATAAATATATGTCTCGATCTCGTTGAGTGCTCTGTGCGCAGGAAGATCTGTATTACCCTCACCCATGGATACAAGACGTGTTGTGGGGTACGTTGGATAAGGTGGTGGAGCCTATTTTGACAAGATGGCCTGGATCCCTTCTTCGTAAAAAGGCGTTGGCTCGTACCATGGAGCATATTCACTACGAGGATGAAAACACCCGTTATTTATGTATTGGTCCAGTGAATAAGGTCAGCGTGCATATGAGCTGTCTAGGAGATGTCCTCTCATAAGTGATCACAGAAGCTGGTCTTTAGGATGGCCTCTCTGCGCATGATCTTATCCTTACCCCCTTACTCATCCAATTCAAACGGAAGACATCTTTTTTCAGGCTCCCATCTGTGTAAATCTGCTTTGACTTTTTTCATGTCTACATAGGTTATGAATATGCTGTCCTGCTGGATAGAGGACCCTAACTCAGAAGCCTTCAAGCTGCATTTGGCACGGGTTGTCGATTACCTATGGGTGGCTGAAGATGGCATGAAGATGCAGGTATCTTTTTCATTGTACTTTTACTTGCACATTCAACTTAGAGATAAATATTCAGAACTTATTGCTTCATAAATCTTGGATCAAGTTTACCAGTATGATGAATCTTCGTCTTCTCTATTTTCTTTGCCTCTTACTTTCATGTCCTTTGAATGCCTCTAAAACGCAGTTTGTTGTATCTATCACATGTTCTTGAAAGAGTTATAACCTATAATTTCAGTTAGCATACATCTCGTATTTCAATTTTCGGCCGGTTTGGAGTTTTGTGGCAGGGATATAATGGAAGCCAGCTTTGGGACACAACGTTCGCAGTGCAAGCATTGGCCGCTACAAAGCTTCCAGATGAATCTATGAGTATGCTCAAGAAGGCCAATTCGTATATCGATAATTCTCAGGTTCACATCTAGCCTTTTTTCTCTTGCTTCAGATACTTCTAGATTTACCAGTTTCTTGCATTTGGATGGTTGGTGAAATTGATTTATATTTTAAGATAGGAGTTAGGTCAGTAGAGCTATGGACGGATGGGCATATAGGCAGGCTGCTGTCTATCGGTTGAAGTAAGGTCTTTTTCACATCAGACTCTGCCTTTCTATTTCTCTGAATACTTTTTAGAGGAGCTGGAGTACTGTAGTCTGCGAATGCGCTAGTTTGTCATACGAATTACACTAGTTTGTTGAAAGGACTTGTTGAATTCTTCTTTATATGCATTGTTGTATCTCCCTTCTGATTAAACGGTTGCGCCGAAACGTCGTGAGTGTGTACTTTCTAAATGTTTGTTTACTTTAATTCACAATATTTGTTAGTATTAGTTGCACTTACAGAGATTTTAAACGTGTCTCTGAAGGTGAGAGAAGATTCTCCAGGGGATATGGCCTACTGGTATCGTCATATTTCTAAAGGTGCTTGGCCTTTTTCTTCAAGAGACCACGGATGGCCTATCTCTGACTGTTCGTCTGAAGGCTTAAAGGTGTGTTGATTCCCGTGTGTGTGCGCTTTTCTTTTTAAAATGTTTCTGATGATGCTGAGCTTCTGCGTACTTGTAAAAAATTAATGTAACTGTGGCTCTTGGGTACTTAATGATTCAGAGTAATTTCCAGGAACAAAACTGTAACTTGGTATGCCTGGTTTTTTCCATCTCTATCGGAGAGTATCTGTGTAAATCCCTCTCTGTTCAGGAAATACGGACCTTCTCTACATAAATGTGGACGTTGAATGTAGGCGACACTGATCTTGGCAGACTTCCCAAAAGAATTGGTTGGGAATCCGATTGCAGCAGAGCGCTTATACGATGCTGTGAATGTCATCCTGTCTTATCAAGTAAGATGCTTATGTACATACTCCCAGCTTGTCTGGTTGATATGACATCAGAAAACATGCTGTCATTTCCTTGCGATAATAGAACAAAAGGAGTTTGTGACGAAGCAGTTTTACTAATATATGGAGTTGTTTTCAGAACGAAGATGGAGGGTCAGCCACTTATGAAAGAACAAGATCTTATCCTTGGCTTGAGGTGACTTTATCGATGCCCTATTGATTTCGCTGCTATTCTATTGCGCAATTCGTGATGTAAGCTTGTTTAATCACTCTCTAGATGCAGGCCTCGAAGAGCATAATTTCCACAACAATAAATGAAATTATTTCTTGCCCGTTTGGCTGTTTTGATTTTCCAGGTCATCAACCCTGCTGAGACTTTTGGAGATATTGTAATTGATTACTCGTAAGTTTTCAACACTGAGCATTACTGTGCTTCGCCTCAACCTTTGTAATTGTTGTCTGTCGGTTTGGAATCGAATGGTTTCTAGACTTTTGTTTTGTACTTTCAATATGCTCAATGAGACGGTTCTGAAGATTAACGTTAATTTTCATATGTTGCGTAGGTATGTCGAATGCACGTCAGCGTGCATGCAAGCGCTCGCTTCTTTTCAGAAACGATATCCTCACCATCGAACTAAGGAAATTGCTAAGTCCATTCAACGGGCTCGTAAATATATTGAAAGCATTCAAAAGGACGATGGCTCTTGGTAAGTTCTCTTTCTAGTTGGACATAGTTTTGGAAGAGGTCTAGTTGGTTGTCTTTAATTTTCAAGGAACCTCTTTTGCAAGGTATCAGTTAAATTTCCAATCTTCATAACATGAGTGGGTGGTTGTTTTGACGCAGGTATGGATCTTGGGCAGTGTGTTTCACGTATGCAATTTGGTTTGGTGTCTTAGGGTTGATTGCTGCCGGTCAAACTTATGAATCATCTTTCCATATTCGAATGGCTTGTAAGTTCCTTCTCTCAAAGCAGCTTCCTGATGGTGGATGGGGAGAGAGCTACCGTTCCTGTCAAGACAAGGTACAAATACTTGCGCATGTGAATGTTGGGAATTGATATATATAGCTCAGTGATTGTTGATAGCATACGGTCTTAGTATTTTATGACTTTCACTCTCAAAAGGTTTTGCGGTAGCGAACTCATCTTTGGATTTCTTCATAATACGTATGTAGCACATTTTCTGGAACTTTATCGTGTCAAAACATAAGGACAGGTTCTACAGTCTAATATATTAAGTCTGCTTGTCGGGCTGTCGTTGATAACCATTTGGGTTCTGCGCCTTTGGATTTGGATTACATCAAAATAATCTCGTTCCTCTGAGCACCGATGTCTTGGTATTTATTATTATTAATTTTATTGTTGTTGTTTTTGTAGGTCTACTCTAATTTGCCTGGTGGAAAATCCCACGTTGTGAACACATCGTGGGCTATGCTGACGCTTATTGCTGCAGGACAGGTACACTTTTGATGGCTCCCATTGCTGGAATCATTCTCTTGGAAGCTCCAACACGGCTTTGTTTTGACTAGCTTCATGTTCGATATAAGTTGGCTTGCACTGGTGTGAGTGAATTTTCTGAGCGAGTGGCTTTTACTCTTGGGAAAGGGAGTGTTTTATTTATTATTTTATTCATTTATTTATCTATTTTTATGTATTTACTGATATCAATATTTCTCTACTATTCATTTTCTCTGAACTCACAGTGGGAGAGAAATCCCGAGCCTTTGCATAGAGCAGCTTCAGTACTTATTAATAAGCAAATGGAGTCTGGAGACTTCCCTCAAGAGGTACTTGAATATTGGATGAGTCGGAATAACGTAGAGCCAGAAATGACGTAGTGACTGTTGAATTTTTATTTCTGTGGGCTGCGTCTAAGGTCGGAATTATCTAGTTTTCTGCCATGGTCAGAGTGCTGGTTTTGCGCTGGTGTTGATATTGACCCTAACTGTATGCAGGAAATCATGGGCGTATTCAACAGGAACTGTATGATCAGTTACTCTGCGTACCGGTGTATTTTTCCTATCTGGGCACTGGGTGAGTACCGGCAAAAATTGATGGCGTAAGACCGCTTCTAAGTTATTGTATTTAGTCTTCGGCTTGGACTGATCATAGTTTCTGTCCCTAGTGTATCACAGATTCAGACGGTACAGTATATTTTGGATTGATGTGACGGAACTTTGAATCTCCTTGCAGTAAAGTATGAATTCGGATAGTCCCGATCGTCATTTGTAAATATGGGTTGTACCAATGAACTGGAATGGTTCTAGAAAAACATAGAATTTGTGAATCCAATTTGACATCATAACTTCAAGTCCAGGAAACAAGTCCAAATGGGTGACACTACACCAGTTTAGCTTGAGGTGGTTTCACACTCCAGGATCAAGGGACATACAGTCTGATGAAGCTAGTTTTGGTTTAGTTCCAAATATGAGTTCAACTTCGTCATAAACTATCACCAATATCCACAGCTTGTACCAATCGAAAACATATTATGTAGTTTTGCATTCAAGGCTTCGAACAACTGCAAATCGACATCTGATGATGTTTTTAGGAGGTTAGTATGAAACAAAGTGAACTGGAATAAAAAAAACTAAAACTGTTTTCCACTTTGTGTTCTACATCACTAGACGGGTGAGTTATTACCGGCAGAAGTTTACAACCATTTGCCGTTGGTTCTCTGTTAAACTATACCCTAATGTTTGTGAGAACTCAGAAGTGAAGTATGTGGTTAGTTCCAAGAATGAAATGCAAAAAGAATTCAAAACAGTTTGTTATTTTACTCGAATTAAGCACCCTGCATATATATATATATATATACACACACACACACACACACACACACAGTTCCCTTATTTATTTGCAGGACTAATCCAATTTTGATATTTACTATAGTTAACGACAACATTGCTGTTTTGTAAAAACCTGTAGTCTTTTAATGACTTCTGAAACCAACTTTTTTATTTTTTTATGATTAGTTTTTCAATGATTTGTTTTTAGTGATATATATATATATATATATATATATATATAATTTCCACAATAGTAATATTTTTTTTTCTTTAAATAAATATAGAAATCATAAATTAAGATTAAAAATTATTTTCTAATATATCTTGTATAATATCTGTTTTACACTACTCTTGTAACTTATTCAAGTGCGTGCAAAAAAACGTAATCTCTATCATTTCTTAATATTATATACCAAAATATTTACCAAAAAAATTACTTCATGATTTATTGATAGATCTTGTTAAGATTTGATATTTTTTTAATTAATGTTATAAGTTTTTCTATTAAGTTTTATTAAAATTATATTAGCAATATAATTTGAAGAATCTTCAAATCTATAAAGATATGTATGTAAAATAAGAATTTAGATAGAACATTCTCTTGTTTGTATATCATTGTTTTGTGTATTCTAAAAATATAATTTGAGATTTTTTTGTTTTGTTGTTGAAGTAATACCTAAAGCACATAAAATTGTATAATGTTATAAAAATAATGAACAAATGTTCTTCAAATTGAGTCTTTAGAACATAATAAATGGTTTATATTCTTATTCTATAACACAATATATAAACATGTATAGATTTGTTTCTCTTTTTATTATTTTTAAGCCAATTATAGTAAATGGGTAGTAACTAATGCAATAATAATTTGGGGAATTTTTTTCCATTTTCATATTGCTACCTAGATAGTAATTAGGACATAAGAAAAATAGTTTTTTTGACATTAATTTCTTTTTTAACTCCACCTTGTAGTCCATGCATCTACTAATGATTGTCAACAACCTTGATCCTCTTTTCTTTTTGTAATTTTGCAAGGTATTTTTACACTTATGCAATCCACACATGATACTTTTGAGTGTTACAATAATTTCTAAAAACTTACTTTTATTTTGAAAAGATCCTATTATTATGTTAATAATAATTAAATAATGTATAACAAGTTTTGTTTAAATATAAATCATTCATTGTGTTAAAATATTTAGTTTCAATATTAATATTAAAATTTTGAAGAAACCACATCCAAAATATAAACCCTTTAGTTGAAAACGTACAACAAAACTCTAATGTTTGTACCAAACACAAATGCAAATGTAAGAGACGAAAGGTGCATGAAATATTAATCCAGATCTCTAATGAGGCGATAAAACTGGGAGTTTTGGATTCTTTTGGATCTAACCACATAACCCTATAATTTTTTCTATTTGAGGTACTAAAAATGTAAATAATTGAAACATATAAGCATCTGTGAAGGTCTTCTAAAAGGAAGAAAAGCAGAAAAAAATGGGAATCAAATGGTGCGGAAAGCATATCCCACACAATTGTTACGATGCTATTGTAATTCAAGGCTAAGGAAACTTGCTTCTCTGAAGACAGGCATGTCCCTGATCTGGTCTAAAGCTGGTGGCACATTAGTCTTCTTTGCCACTATTCTCTCTGCACCTGGAACTTGAGCTCCCTCCCCTCCATCGTTGATCATGTTCAGAAACAGTTTGTGCCTGCAAAGGATTAAGGTAGGGACCGTGTACATTAGATGCCAAAACAACAATCGAAAGAAAGTGGAGAAACTACAGAAAATGAAAAAAAAAAGAAAAAAATGAGAAGTTTAGACATAAGAAAGAAATCCCAATTTACAGATGTGAGCAGAGGAAAACCATACCACCGTAAATCTGAGGTCAACTCAGGATGAAATGCAGTTGCTAGCATGTTGTTCTGCTTGACCGCCACAATAACCTTATCCTTGCCTACTTCCTTATTTTGAGAACAGATTTACAAAACATCAAAACCACCATTGAGAATCACATGAAAAAAAGTTAATTGCATGTAAATGATCCAAGTAGAAATGGGCATATCTAAAGAGCTCCTGCTGTAATTGAGATTCAAGTGACTCGCATTGGAATGTGTATTGAGATTCCACTGTGCTGAATGGTACCAAGTAGTGTGAGCAGAGAGGTGATTTCACATGAGTTGAAAATCAGAAGGTAAATTAATCACCTGTTGTGGGGCCTGACCAGGTGCCAGGGGATATTCAGCTAGCACTTCCACAGAAGAACCCACATCGACAATTGCAGGAGCTCGAATGAACACAGCACGACAAGTCTCGGCACCTCCCTCTCGTGAGGCTAGAGTTGGAACTGATAGCTCCATTTCGAAGCTATTTAACTGCACACTCATGATGAAGTTTTCAAGTTGAAGACATTGTATAGCTCACTTGGACCATGCGACAGCATATCCAACGCTGAGAATGAAGGGGTGCCGATTTTAAGATCATAATTCACATCACATAGAAGTAAACCTTCCAGTAATGATTGAAATGTGAAATTCAAAGCATTGAGTTATATCTAAAGCTCAATGTAATGCATTGTAGAGGATTGTAGATTTCACTGCCAATTTCATTTTACTCAAGACTCATTCGTAATGATCTGCACTGCTTGTTCGAAAGGCATACCTGGCTACCGAAAAAGTTGCGGTGAACAGTGCAATCAAGTCCCCCCAAGAGCTTTTGACCTCCTTCTTTTACTCCTGCTAAGCCAACAAACCGATCTCAGTTTTTTAGTTAAATTCTTACATTGTACACCACTTACCATCAGAGGCACAGGGCATTCAGAAACATAAATTCACCATCACAGAAACGATCCTTAAACCCATTAACAGCAGAGGAATATCCACATTATCAATAATGTAATCATGCAAACAACCAAAAGAAGCTACCACTTCTAGCAAAGTAGGATACAACAATAAAAAAACCAAGCATTGGAAGTTCTCACCCGAAGCTCTGTCAGCCAAGAAGATAAGCCCGGCACATGTGCCCCAAATTGGTTTCCCTGCGGTGCTAAATTCTCGAAGAGCAGGAAACTGCGACAGGGTTTTACAATCGACGTCAGCGTTTATTTGGTGCACAAGAAAAAGTACAATTTAAAAATAAAAATAAAAACCAAGAAAAAGTCCACTATTTTCGTGAGGCGATTCGAGTTCGCGGGAGGAAGAGGCACAGAAACAAAAGGAAGAGATAAATTTCCACTAACAAGGTTGTTCTTCTCCGCCAGCTTGGCCATGGTGGTGCTCTCGCCACCAGGAATAATCAAACCGGACAACCCCACCAATTGCTCCAGCTTGCGTACTTCCACGGCGTCCACCCCCAGCTTCCGCAAACCTGATATCCCCCAACCGACACAATCCAAGTTCGCATTTAGTGGCAGCTCATTCGACATTATAATGGCCAAAATTCGCCCACCACAAGCGGGACTCTAGACTTTACACTTCCAGTCATCTCTCGCGAGAATGATCGACGTCCTTACCCTTGTAGAGTAAAAATCAAGATCACTGCGCAGCTGCCTCCAATTGCCGTTGTTTTCCAACGAAATCCATACCCACATAAGCCACGAGTTTCTTGGAAAATGATTTAGGAATCTAGAAAAAATAAAGAGGATAAGCGGGAACAATACTCACAGACGATGTGCTCCTTGAAGGAGCCCTGCAGGGCCAACACTCCGACTGCCATCGGTGTTGAAATATCTTCCTCACAAGCTAGCGCAGTCTCTGGGTACCTTTCTGTTGGCACCTACACTCCCACCTCGATCACTTCTCACGAAAACGAAACAGTACAAGTGAGAAATTGCGGCACGGGCCGGATTGATGGGCAAGGAAAAGAGCAACGCGCAACGGCGGGTGTGCAAATCTGACTCTGGCAGAGGTGGGGGAGAGTGTTGACAGATAGTTGTGAGGAGGAAGTTGCTGCTGCTAAACTGTTGTGGTGATGCAAAGTTTAGGGCCATGTCCCCGAGTTCGGAAAACCTGGTACAACCGAAGCCAGGCAATAGCAATTGGCTCTTGAGCCCTTCTTCTGGACCCCACCAAATTTAGATCCTGCATCGGGGAATAGAATCTCTAGTAGCGACCTTTTATTTTCCCTGTTCTGCCGCCTGGTTGTTCGGCCAGTAGGCCCACCGTCGAGTTGCCTTCAGCTGGTCACTGCAGAATCAATCGGTATATTTTTTTTTTCATTTGCGGTATTCCTTTGATGCCTGGCCTTGTAAACCAGGGACGCGGAACAAATAACCGCATTTTTTACTCCATTTTTAACTCCGGTGGGGACTTCTTGGTATTCCTTTGATGCCTTCTCACACCTAAACAAAATCCAAATATCATCAGAATCCATTCTTTACCACCGGCAACAGCTCAACAGCAGCAATAATGCTAGTGCTATCAGTTTGTGGTTTCTTCTTAGGTCGAAAACTCGATTTGTTGTAGCCAATATCGGAAAAGTAATTTTTTTAAAAATCAATTCGCTACCTAGAAGTTAACTATGCAGAGACTATGCAGAAAGTCTAAAGGTCATTCGTGTTTCTTCTAATAAGGAAGAAATTGAACCCCACAAGCTCATCAATAAACCAGTCTGTTAACTGAAATGTTAATAAGTCTGTGAAGTTCAATTCTTGAGTATAATCCGCCCTTTTGATGTATCCTGACTTTAACAGTAATATATAAACCATTTTTGAGCAGGATGAATGTCATATCCACGTCTGGTAAAACCACTAAGGTTTGAAGACTTTATTCCAACTAACCCATGTCATCGCCAGTTGGTTGTTCCAATTAATACGATGGCTAGTGGAGGCTTGTGACCCAACGAGAGTATTGAATGCAGAAGTCACTGCCAAAAGGACATTCCGCAGGGAATCGGGACAGTCGTCCAATCTACACTCTCGGCACACTGCTGGAATGAAATTGAAGGCGTCAACGCTAAAATTTTCGCCCCGCGCAGTCTGTTTGGGTGACACCTCAACGCACTGCATTTCAATCAGTACGATCGTGAGCCAGAAAGCGAAGAATTTGTCTTCACAAGCTCAGTTGTAGTCCAGGAACACGCTCAAGATGTTTCAGAACTAAGCATGCGAGAAGCAAAATCGGTGACGCTTTCGGTTTCCCATATCTCGGATCTTGTTCGCCCCTCAAGGAAGCATTGATCTTCTGAGATAAGCTTCCAGTAGTCACAGAGTTCTATAATACCAACACCAATCAAGCCAGAAAACATCGATGCAACCCTAACAGGATCCGATCCATTAGGGCATACCATGTTTTTCCGATTGATAAAATCTCAACATAATTTTATCTCGTCAAGTTTGTAGCCTGTGATATGTAACACACGGCGGGCTGGACTTTAGATCTCCGCTTGAATCCGCTAGGTCCATCGAGTTGGCTTTGAGGAGGTCCAGAATTGATAACTACTGATCTCCGAGGGTTGTAGTCTGCGTTGATCGACACCGTTGGCAGCACATTAGATGACCTAAGGCGCGGTGGAATGCCGCGAATAGCCGATGGTCTCCACAGGAGCAAAAATTTTCAGGCTGACAAACGTCACTTCTCTTAGCGTTGCCAAAATACTAGAGGACTGGTCTCAGTGAAGTTTTGCAGTTTCTGTAGGACTGCCAAACAGAAGAAGCTCATCGTTTCCTCACATGAGGAAGTTGTTCAGAGCAAGATCATCCTCCAAAATTGCACCGACAACTCGTTTCCCTCCAGCCCGAAGTAGTTTGAGTTCGATGCACTCAAACTCGGACTCTCCACGCAAAAATGGTTGTGCGAAACCAGAACGAACTCAACTGAAGGGTTCAAGTTGTGAACTCGAGGTTTGTGTTATCAAGTTAAGTTCGTAGGCAACAGATATTCGTTATCAATCTAGAAAGCTCTGTTTGCTGACTGTTTCAAGTAGAGCTGTTGCGTAGAATAGGAGATGATTCCTGGTGTGGTTGTAGCGACGGTGAGTCCAAGCTGGAAATGTGAGGCTGTTTCTCACTTCGGAATACACAGCTTTCACATCCTAGATGGGTAGTTATTGCTACCAAACAGGAAACTTAGGCATGACACAGGAATCATCGTGTGGAAATGTTCTCCGACATCACCAATCGGACAATCTGGAACCCCAGGATTGGGACCTTTTGTGGCGTTACAAGCCACTCGGGATATGAAACAGAACGTGGCTAATGAACCCAATTGTCATCTATCTTACATCTAGTACAGGAGAACCACACATGCCTAGAAAGCCTCAACAGAAGGCTGTTGTTGTTACCAGGTGATTGCCCGGTTCAGCACACTCTCTGGCCTGCTTTGCATCGACCATCGGCAGAAACCACGACTCGGTGTCGGTAACATCATATCAAATATTGGAAACAGTCGGTACGCAACAAAGTTTCTGTATCAAACGTGAAAAGCATTGTTTGCAGATTCTTCCTGGTGAAACTGTTCCATGTTCCAGGTGAAGACTCTTGATGTAATTCTCGCCGATGTCATCAAGACAATGTTTAGCTTCTAAACACACAACACTAGTCAACTTTCACATGAATATTTCTTCTTTGTGCTACATTTGAACCTGATCTCATTCTTGGGCACTTATTTCGATGAATCTCACATACTTTGCCCATCGTTCGACAAATGGGTTCTGTATAAAATGAATGGATATCAGCGGTTATAGCACTTGTTGTAAGTTCCATACAGCGGAATCTCTAAATGGCAAGCATTTTTGAAGGAAACATTTCATACTGAACGTGTTAAAAAAAACTTTTATTTCATGTCATTCAACTTTTGTAGTTGTAATTGATGGAGTTGGAATGTGAGTGTTAATGTTAGGCTTTGGTTGGATTTTTACATGCAAGTTTCTTTAGACAGTGGGTTTCTATAATTCTGACCTAGAACCTCATTTCTACTATTGTGATGTGATGTTTGTTTCTAAAAAAATGAGCAGATGTTATCTCAAAAGATGATTTCCGAAATACATAAACAAATCTTTTATTAGGTGGTTTGGAACAGTGCCATTAATTGCTAAAAATACAACAATGTAAATTTTTTTTATGACATATAATGGTGTCTATTTTTTGAACGTTTGTTACATGTATCCTCAATAAAATTTGAATTTTGGTTTTTTTAAACACAGTACATATTTTTATTACATTATTAGAATATTTATAATTTTAAATTTTTTAAATTTTCAAAATTAAATTATATATATATATATATATATATATATATATATGATTTTTTCATTTACATATATTTTCAAAATAGCATGATTAATATTGTGAAACTGCATAAGTATATTAAAATAAAAATTACCAGATATATTTTACATGTTTGACTACATACTTGATAATTAATTATTGTTCATATTTTTAATGTACAACACAGGTAGACATAATTCTTTTTATTAGTACTCTTTTTAGATTACTTTGGCAAATACTAATAAAACTTGCAACAAAGAAAGAATAAGCTATAATTTCAAATATATATATACATATATATATATATATATATACAAGTCTTATTTTTAAAACAACTAGCTACTATTATTTTATTTTTTAAAACTCCGCCCATTCAAAAATTTAAAACTAGTGTAAATATTTTTGGTTGTATCATAATTACACACTACAAATTTTACATTATTATGGTTTTGCAACAATGTCTCACTTAACTACAAGAGACGAATTTTTTTATTGGTCAAAGCATGTTGCATATGGCTTTGATTTCTAAACCATCAAATATTACAATATAAAGTATTTTGATTCCAAAGTAATAACTTTAATTTGAAAAGATTTTGATTTTTTTAGAATTAGAATTCAACTCAATTAGAATTCAACTATTTGTTCACAAAACATAAACAAAAGAAAATTAAAATTGAACATTTTGAATGAAACTCTATAAATGCAACATAAACCACACTAGAACAACACACAAAATACTACCCAATAAGCTTCACACAGTATGCACATGTCAAAAAATATAAATAAAAATCCAACCTCAAGGCTTTGAACTATACTTCTAATACAATAAAGTATTGATGTACAATACTCAGAAGACTAGACGTTAACAATTAAAATTCATATCACAAAAACGCATGTGGATGCTTGTGTGGGGAAGCTTGTGTGGTGGATGGCCATTACAACTCAAAATGAAAACATTCTTTGAAAATAGTCCAACAGCCGTGTCAGCGGCCACCTCCAACTTGAGCATTACTTCAAAATTCCTCTCAGAAGTTGTTTCACAAAGTGTTGAGATTATCAACATTGAGGACTGCATATCGAAGTTCTTTTTCTCACTTAATATAGCTCAGCGTTAAATAATATGCAGCTGGAATAGATAAACAGTATGGTTCGTCTCCGCGTGTGAACAAGAGGACAAACTCACATCTCGTATGTGACACTCGTACTCTCTGCGTCCACGCACAACTGAATTTAGGGTTCGAAATCTGAATGGAGCATAGAATGACATCTAGTGTATTCAATTCAACGAAAACTGTTACAGAATTACCCCACACATACCTCCATGACGCTGCTTTCTTAGAATAGAACAGTTGTTTTGAGCATGAAGCTTGGACCAGGTTACTCAGGAACAATCTTCTATCGAATTTGCACCAGAAAAGATGTCTGAACATTACTTTAATTAGGGTACAATCTCTGAAACTTTGCAACTGACTGGGCAGAGTACATTACCTGTGATCATACATGAAATCGAATCACTGCTTGCTAGTCATTTTCTGGCTCGAATTCGTGCTGAAGGACATCGGACAGACACCCTCAAACGTGAACATCATCACAGAAGTGCATCAAGTGTCTTTGGAGCATTAGAGTCCAATATCATACATTAGCTTTATCTTTTCTTTCTCCACTATTTGAAGAATCTTCATTCTTAAAATCCTAATGAGGTTCAATTCGGTACTAGAGATACCGAGTTGCAACACCCAGTCATATACCTTCAAAGTATCAATTTGGTGCTGTTTTCGCGTGCTGGACCTCCTCATCCGCTGACATTTGTAATTTGATTTTTCTTCATTCAGCTGAAGTTACTTCTCTTTTATGTCGAAGTTGCGCTCTTGCTGCTCCTCTTTTGCAAAATCGTGTGTCAAAGAGCAACTTATGCTGTGACTTTCCCACACAAGCATTCGAACATTAAAATTGAACATTTTCGAACATTAAAATTGAATCTGAGCTTGATCGATTCTAGAGTGCAGCCACAAATTTTTTGAGTAAGAATCCTCCGCTCCAGGACGTTCGTCTTCGAACACGATAACTTCAGAATAGATCCGATCACCAGTACATCGCTGGAAACATCCTTGAGGTGCTGACGGCGAGCGATAAAGACTTAATGTAAAATCTTAGTCAAATTTCGACTTGGAATTCACAGTAACCTGACCAGGAGTTAGCCTAAAGATATTGAATCGCTATTTTGATTCTGCTACATCCGTGTCCCTCAGGACCAAGACATGGTGAGCTTACTTAAAATTCCACATCGAGATTTAACTCAGAGATTACGTGAAGTCCTTCTTGTTCAGTGCCTCAAGGATAGTAGTCCTCTTGCTAAACCTTCAGCATTATCTACTTTTCGGGGCTGAAACACCAAGGCCTGAGTATACTTTCTCTATCGCTCCTCCGCTGCATCAACGATTTGTCACTATTCCTGACAAAAGTATTATAGTAAACTGAGAATCCTATCACCTTCGGCACAGCGTATATCGGTGCAGTGTTTCTCGATTCAGCTGAACCCACTGCATTTCAAACATTCAGATGAGGATTTCATGTCCATACCCTTCCCTAGCGACTGAACGTGAATGTCTTTTTCTATCTTCTTACAATTATTTCCTCTTTGCTGATCCCTCAAATGGCTGGCTGGGGTTTGCACCTCCAGACACCTCTTCTTCAGGCCGTTCCTCAGATTTCGATGCTTAACATTGCGAACCCATACTTGCATAAGCTTAACGCCGTTAATGACGGAATCTGATGATATCACCACATCATTTATCATAGAACATGTCAAACACATGACTTGTCAAACACAGGACAGATCAAGTAACAGCTTCATTTCTTCAAAGCAATAACCTAGAAACACCCTTCTGTCGAAATTCTCTGAACATGTGTCGTTCTGATGTCCTGTGACACAGCGAATCAAGAGCTAGAAAACAACCGGATTCGTCCACTAAAACTACAATTCTTTTCACATCGCAAGTGCAAATACAGGTCCCAAATCTAGGGTTCCAGACTGTCTGTGAGTATGAGGGTGAATCTTCACCAGCACACGGCTCATCAGGCATTAATTACCTGGGACGAGTTGATACTCAAATTCAACAACCTGTCGGTAAAACCAATTGAAAAGAACGAGGTTATGAACTGCTTTATCTACGGCGGTGGGACAGGCAGGCACTCAAATTGCTTTTGGTTACAAAGAGGATTTTATCACTGTTGAGGACGCCAGAGATTCCTACATGTGACACCCGTCGCAGATATGTTATCTTACTATTTCAATGACGATTTCGCTGAATTTCGACGTTATGATTCCCTTGTCATGTAAAAGTTTATTGTTTGGTCGGAGTTACTAACCATTCAGGACAAAGAAGCTGCATGCCGTAGTAAGAAACAGACACACGTTTCTAGCTCGGTCCCACCTTGATTGCAATCATAGCCGGAATAATCCCCTGTTCTACGCAAGAGTTCCACGGGAAATAGTCAGCAAACAGAGCTTTCAAGTTGATACAGAAAGTTTGTTGTCTAAGACTTGTTTAGAATCCCTGAATTGATAGCGCAAAACCCGAGTCTTTTGTCGATTGTGCGTGTGCACTAGCCAAGAGGTGCGAATTGGCTTCTACCATTTGCTTTGTCAAGCTGGCAGACGTGCTCTTGTGGGTAATTCTGGCTCACGACTAGAGGCAGAGGCACTTGTGGGAAGATCCAAAGAGTCTAAAGCATTGCGTTTCTGTCTCGTTCTATCCATCTTCGCGATGATGTCGTTGATTCTGGTGGCTCTTGTTCTCTGAAGCATTGCGCCTGTCTCCTGCCCTTTGTTGCTACCTCCGGCTTCATCCGAGTTCATTATGGCTTCATGCAACCATTTTTACGTGGACAGTCCGAGTTTGAGTGCATCGAACTCAAACGACTTCGGGCTAGAGGGGAATGGGTGTCGGTATAATTTTGGAGGATGGCCGCAACCTGAGAAGCAGAGTCGTTCAGAGCAAGACCAGGCAGAGATTTACGCCATGTCTCTGTGCACAGATACACCACGGCCTGGTCTGAGGGGCCACGTTTCTGCGATATTGCAGGGTGAGTTACACTTGAGGGGGGTGAACCATGTTGGTTTGTCGAACACAGAGACAGATGTTGAAAGCGATTCGGAAGCACTTCCTGATGTCAAGAAGCGAAGAGCTTCTTTTGCTTGTCAGTCCAACGGCAATTGGAAAAGTTCACTAAGGAACCAGACTTTTATGGAATCAAGCGGCGGTAGTAAACATCCTCAACTTTTGTCTGATAAGACTCTGAACGCCGCGGGGGTGATACATCTGCTTGATACTTTGTTCAACAAGGTCGATGTTGATACGGATGAAGGATTTGGGCAGCTGAGGAACCGAATCACGCAGGAAAGCTTGGCAGAAACCCTCACGTCAGACAGTCAGGTTTCGGGAATTGAAGAAGGAGTTGAATCGAAGAACGTTGAGGAAAGAAGACACACTTCCAATACCGATCTGGATGAGTTCTTGTGCAGCATTCGGTCTCTCCTCTCTGTCATAAGGAATCACGAAGAGTCACAGGAGAAATACAGGGACAAAATAAAGGTGCTGGAAGAAAGGAAGAAAATATTGAAGGAGGAGAAAAGACAGTACAAACGGCAACGTGATTCATATTGTAAGCTTCCTGTGTAGTTGGGCTAAAGAAATCAACACGGAAACACTTTAAACTCTGGAGAATTGGGATTTTCTGTTATGGTGCAACTCTGGTGTGTCCCAGGAAGAAATTCACCATTCCCACATGCCACGGACTACATTGACGACTCTTTGCGAGCTTCTTCGTCTGCTGTCCGTTAATGCCTTCTTCATCGTCCTCCAAGCTGCCGATTTTTTTTTTTAAGGTATCGAACCAACTACAGGTTGATGTATAATTGGGAATGATTACGAAAAAATCCAACCAATCTTCTCCATCATCTCAATTTGTGACCTGGGGATTGCTGGATTACACGACATCTCTGATTTTAATCCAGGACGACGGCACATTGTACAAGGCTAAGGCACGCCTCATGCGACATCGATTATCAAATTTTGCAACTTTAGTGCATCTGTGGTATCGTAGGTCTTTAGATAGGTTTGTATTTTCCCCTGATCAATAGATAATAGATACTTACCATGAAGTGCTGCTGCTTTCACGACAAATCGAATCGGGTTTGCCAAAACCTCCCCTAGCATGGTGGACACAGCTTATCTGCGCATCAATCAAAAGACTGAGCAAGCAATCCGATATGTAGTTATGCTTCACACTCAAATCAATATGACTGTCAAGCCAGAATGGGAGGGTAGATTATCTTGTCAATACAGCACTGAACTTTTAATAGGAAACAACCGTTTGCAAACCTAGCAACAAATAATTACTGATAAACAGTCTCCACTCGAGACTCTCTACATCTGTTAACTGTTAAACGTTCCCTTGACGACGATCATGAACGCAAGCAGATGAATTACTATAATCAATAAAAAGTAACGCTAATTTTGCCCCAAGATGGAAATTAAACATGTCAGTGTCCTTTGGCGAATTTTATTCTTTTAGTATTTCCAGAAGAAAGTGCCTGCTAGACAATGCTATCAGGATGGTTACATTATGTACTCCTAAAAAATTTCGGTTAACTAGTGGAATAGGTGTTACGTACAACTCAAGAGATTGGCAATCATAGAGAAAAAGACGAACAACAACTTCACAAAAGACCAGCAGCCGGATCTATCTAAAAATAGAAAATGTGCAAAAATATTCTTTCCCACGACCGACCTTGTTGAAAACTGGAGTACTCAGTTCCATTCAATCCAATAGATAAGTTACATTAAGTTAAATTTGACATACAAAGAATTGAAGTTCGTCACAATTTCATTCAAAGCTCAATTGCTAAGTCTTCCTCATAATATGCCAAAATCGAAGCTCTTATCACAGATCTGTAAATAAATAAATTGGTCATCCATAAAAGAACCATTCGTCAACTCCATCGCACACTATGAGAGCTTTAACAATTGCTGAACCTGGGAAAATGAAGTGGCAAGAATTTTCTTCATCTTGAACAATTCCTATTTTAATTTATGAGTGATTTTTACGTAGAGAATTATACTGTAGCAATCTGTTTCCACAGTTTTTAGGCCGGAGTAAGCTAGAATTCTACAGTTTTTAGGTCAATCACAGGCTTGTCCTAATAGTCCAACAACTCAGTCTTGGTTTCTTCAGCTTGAGGCAACTTAAACGGGCTCCCTCTCATGACGATGGTGGAATATTCTATTCAGATTCCTTCAAACTCAACAGTTCTGCATGGAACAGTCGCTCGAACAGAAACCCTAAATCCTATTACATCGAAACACTGACTAGGGAACTTCTGAGAACTTTGAGCGAACGCATTTGTGGAGTTTTTTGGGAAATAGTGGGGATTTTGGAGTACAATTAAAATGATGGATGTTAATTATTATGAAAAACTTAATTATTCAAGAAGTGAGTATTCTAACTAGCCTAAGTCACTCTAATCTTAATTCATACTTTAGTGTGTATAAAGAAATATTTAAAGAAAATATTTATTTCTAGTCAATGAATATAAAGAAATATATAAGAAAACACACCAAATGGAGAACTATACTTGGGAATGGAATTGATTCAAAAAGGCTTAGATCACATGTGGAAAGAGAACAAATCCATATCATGTACATTTTTGTTATTTTTATCATATGTCAAATTGCAAAAGAAATGTGTTATTTGCATGACATTTGCACACTAAGATCTAAAGTTTGACAATTTTTTGTTAAATATTGTTCAACTTGTTATGGTATAAATAATTTGTTTTTATCATGTCTAAAGTTGATGTTGGGAGGAATCTAAAAGCCACTAGAAATAATTATGTTTATGGTAGTGTACAACATAAGATTTGAGAAATGAATTTGAGACAATAAAAAAAAAAAAAGAAAAAAAGAAAAAAAAAGGGGGGGGCGAAAGACCAAATCTATCTTCAAATTGTGATGAATTGACTCTGCTCATCCAAAAATGGTGAAACTTGAATCCTATACAACTCTCAAATTTTGAAAATATTTGTAAAAGACTTCTCACGTTAAAAGAAAATTCAAATTGGTGGAAAAATGCATAGTTGAGATATTGGGCTTTGATGCATCCAAGAATAATGTTGATGAAAATACACATCCTAATGAAACACAAAGTGAATTGCCTTTGGTGAAGCTTCTACCAACTACTATACCGAACATGTATTAAACATATTTGATTGATATGATGATGTACACATTTTTATTTTGTTGATTTTAGTAAGTTAGGAGTTTCGTGAAACTTTTCCAGTTTCCATTCCCATCACCTCTGATACAAACAGCAAGCCACAAGCTCAACAAAAAGGTCCCAAAAACCAGTTGCACAAATCCAGATGTGAGTGTTTTGATGGGCTCGGCAGTTGAATGATCTGTTATGTAGTTCCTGTACAAATGTACTAAACCCTAAATCATTCGGTCCATCACCTTTTTTCTATTGTTTTCTATCTACAAAACTATGACCTCAACACCTCCAATTATGCACACATTCCCGGCAAGAAATTTACTCGTTCGCACGCTCTATTCCATGCACGATCTATGATTCGTAAACAGGCTTGGCTTGCATTCTTCGATTAGGGTTTGTTGTGGGTTTGGCCGGTCTCGCAGTGCCTGCAGCCACCAGGCCGTTGAACGCCTCCATAACGGAGGGCATGAACCGGGCCGACACGGAAACAATCCCAGGCAGAACACCATACTGGAAATGGCGTTGCAGATCCAGCTGCACCCACAATGCCTTGGCGAGCAAGAAGGCCACAAACACGATGGGGAGATAGAGAGGGTTGCGCAGCACTGCCATGATCTCGTTGAATCCCAGCACAAACATGGCGACGATTGTCCACGGGGGCGGCATCCATGTGTTGCCCCGCCGTTTTGCTTCCTGCGCTGTGAGTGCCTGGCTGATGGTGTACTCCGTCTCGGCTCTGAGTTGGCGCCACAAGCTTCGGCATTGCGCCGGGGTGAGCATGGTGTCCTTGGGGTCTACCCCTGGCCATGTCGAGGATGCGAAGGGGTTGGAGCCAACGGACCCATCACGAGAGCCGTCGTGTGAGGAAAAATCGGAGTCGGTGATTAGAGTCATGAGGACGTCTTCGACGCCGTCTTGGTCTGAGTCTGGGTTTAGTCGGATGGCTGCGATTACAGAGAGCATCTTGAGGGCTCCTTGTCTTGCAGATTTTGTGATGGCGCGGACGTCGTGCTCCTCACCCCAAACTCGAGGGATTGAGTCATCGTCATGGCCGAAGATAGTGTTGAAGCGATCCTTCATGCGGATTAGAATCTGAGAGTTCACCTCGCGTACCTTCTTCTCCACGATTAAGCGTGGGTGTTTGGACAGGTCCGTGAAGATTTGTTTCTCCTCGTCCTGGGTGGGCTCGAATCCGGAGAGTTCTTTTTTGAGGGAGGTGGTGACCAGCTCGGTTTCGTTCTCGACGATCATTCGAATAGATGGCCATGCGTCTGAGGAGGCTGCGTCCAGGATCGCAGACACTGGTTCCCCTATGACGTCCTCCAAACGCTTCTCATAGTTTGATTTCAGCAATTGTAACCTCTCAGTTCGCAAGGATTGCGCGTTTGCGTCGATGTTGCTCTTGAGCTCCTCCCGCGCCTGGAATGGATTCCAAGCTGATTGGGACACGCTCGCATCTGCATGCAAGTAGTAAATTCATTTAGATCGGATTACGAATTGCGAATTTTTTTTCTCTTTTTTTAGGTTCGTCAAATGGGTACCAAATACTATTTGTATGAATGGAGAAACGTACCTGCGCAAGCTTGGTCAAATTCACTCAATGTCGTCTCAGAGAACCGTCGGACAGTAGCTGCAAATTCCTCGTTTGAAGACTCCGCCGCAGCCTGCAGGTCCGTTTTGAACTTCTCCAACGCGTTCGTGCGATGATTTGCGATCACAGCATCATAAGCTGGCTGGATGATCGCAAGCGCTTCCGATATGAAGTAATTTCGCTTCGCGCCCCTCACACCCTCGTCGAAAAACCCTGCCTCGAGATCATACTCGGAAACATACTTCTCCAACATGGAACTGACTTTCTTCCCAAACGTGGGAACCACGCCCGACTTAGACGCTTCCTCCAGCTTCTTCCACTTCGCATCTTTCATCAAACTCTGCAGCTTCTCATGCGCAATCTCCTCGCATCGCACCGTCGCCACCATAACCTTGTGCGCCGGCAAGTCTAAATCCCTATTTTCTTTGATCACTTTCCAAATCTCATGCGCGCTAAAAGGAAATCCACTGCCCGGAACCACTGCCCGCCTGTCTCCCGCCACTCCTCCCGGCTCGACCGAATTCTGGAACCGCTTCCTCAACTGTACAATCTCTTCATTGAACTGCTCCTCCTTCTCCTCATAATTCGACAACGCAGTCACATCCACGTTGAAAAACTCTGTCAGCGGCGTATCCTTATGCTTATCAGGCTTCGGCACACCATCCCAAATCTTCCGCACGTCCTCTCTCAAGATCGGCTCCAAAATTTCCATGGGCGTCCTCGTTTTATCTCGAACCACAAACATCAACGTCGTCTTCCTCGGCGAGAACAGCCTCATCATCACCTGAAACACGGTTTTCAACAGAGGCTTGTTGGACGCTTGCTCCCGTCCTATGTCATGACACCACAGGTTGATCAACACGATGTCGGCAATCGCAAGGGAGAACAGTGCACTCTGCTTCTCGAACGACGTGTCGTCTTCTCCCCTTTCCCTCCCATCCGTCCCCTCCAAATCCATCACCAAAGTGCAAGGATCTATTCTCTCTGCTCGCTGCAACCACACACCCTTGGTTGTCTGGTTTCGCCCCGTCAACGCGTCCATCTCCTTGAACGTAGTCCGGAACAAATGATTCAACAAAGTGCTCTTCCCGGAGCTCTGCGGCCCCATGATCGCTACCACTGCATATGAAAGTCCACATTCTGAAAGCCCCACTTCCTTGCAAAATCTCACCAACGCAGCCTCGTTAAAACTTCCTTTCTCATCTATCAGTTGAATCGCTGGTGCTTCAGTTGGCTCCATCACTCCCACAATCCCCACAAACCCACCTTCGTCCTCGCAATCCTTCCAACCCTTCACTTCCTGAAACCACCACCACAGCCTCCTACCCAATTTTTTTCACAAATCCTTACAAGTACCCACAAAGCTAGAAGACTTCTAGACACAAATCTGCTGATCCATGGCGGAGCGCAACCCCTTTCGGCCGGCGCATGAATGAGCAAAATCCCGACTTTCCACTCGAAATTCCTCAGTTTTACTATCAATTTTTTTAAAGATTTTTCCCACCATGGTGCCCACAAAGCTCGCGATCCCTGCCAGCTGTGCGGTCCACGTCACTACTACAGCGGGTTGGTCCTTTCCGGTGGCTCCACCTTGACGTCTACCTGTCTCGTAGATTGCTTCCAACTTGTCTTCTGCGACCACTTGTCCCCGAAATGCCTCCAAAAGTTGGCCGTTCTCAGGTTCTCTCAAGTTTGAATTCTTTTCGTTTTTATTTTGTTAGGTTTTTTAAGGTTTTGTTGGGTTTTGTTTTTTCTTCTGATTGCCCATTCGATGATTGAGAGTTGCGATGAAATCCTGTGTAGTTTGTGTGGATATGGACCATTTTCAGCGATTTATGGATCCAAGTGGTTTGGCTGAGAACTAGCTTGGTAGGAGTTGAGTCCACCGTGGCGATCCGACGTGGAATTGACACGTTCCCACCCTAGCAGGCACGGTATTAGGGACCCCATCCTGAAAGAATGGGCGGGTGGAAAATTCTTAGATAAATTAATAAAAAAAACATGATGAGAGAATGCAAAGAGTGAATCCCTTTGGAGAATTTTTATTGGGGAATTGAATTGTTTAGAAAATAGTTGGAAGGTGGATCTTAAGTTCTTCAAGGGTATTATATGGAGGTAATAATGGAAGATTGGAGAGACACAAATTTTGTGTAAGGATGTCTTTAATTGTAGTACATAAGTCATGCCTTTGTGTATAAAATTTGCTTTGATAGAACTATAATTTAGTGTAGGTAATAGTTCTTAACTTTGAAATATGTCAACATATCTATTTGACAAGCATGATATGTTTGTTTAGAATTTGCTAGGCTATTGGATAACATATAAGTCTACTATTTTAGTGCCCAAGATTCCAAAATCTAATTAACAATATGAGTTTCAAAATAGTAGAATTATTTTAAAATAATAGCATTGCTATAAAATAAGTCTACTATATAGTTTTAAAATAATAACATCATTTGTGTATGTGTATATATATATATATATATATATATATATATAATTAATTAATTAATAAATAATAAGTATTCAAATTAGTTATATAAAATTTATAAATCATTATATGTATTCATTCTAATTTTAAATAAATATATTTAAATATTCAAATTAAGTAAAATATAGATTTTAAGAATTATATATATTGCATATTTAAAGAAGCAAAAGTTTATTTAAGGTACAATAATATTTTCTTTGTTTATCTATGCTTAAGATATTAATGTCAATGAGTTCTAAAAACTCAAGTAAACAAATATTTTTTAGTTGGTCTCAATAATAAGTATATAATATATTTTTCTTTTTATACATAGAATATTAATGTATTTATAGAAGAAGAAAAGTACTGTATATATATATATATATATATATATGTACATATGTAATAGTAATAGTTGCATTTTATACCAAGAGATTTTATATTTAAATGGCCCACTTTAAAAGAAAATAGTCCGAAAGCCTATTTAAGGTATCCTATTTGATAATTTGTCATGGGAGAAAATAATGCATCCTATCTTATCTTTTCTTCTTATTATCTTTAGGCTAGTTTCTATGAGTATAAAGGCAATTTAGGGAGACTTCTCAATTTAAGGAGACTTCTCAATTTAAACCACTCATAATATTTATAAGTTGTTTCTTTGTATCTTAACTCTTCGGTATGCAGACCCTCTAGAAACTTTACAAATTCCACTCACATCTGTACATTTTTAGTTAATAAAATAGTGAATATAAATAATTAAAATAATGTATTTACATAAGTAAAACATGTAAATTTTGTACAAACTAAATGATCATTGACTTGAATTCTTTACATCTAATTCTCATAGAATTAATATGTTGTGATTCAGATAATAATCAATTACAGACTTCCTCTTTTTTTGAAAATTTATAACAAAATTATTCATTACGGATATGTAATTACTTTTACACATATAATTAATAATTTCAAATTAATTACAAGAATAAATTTTACTTGAATTCTCCACTTTTAGAATTTTAATTAATAAAATACATATCAAATAATATAAATAAACACTTACATATTTAAATATGTGAAATATAGAGTCGTAAAATGAGTAAACTTGCTCTTTGAAGGGCTTAGTTCAATATTATAGACCTTTTTATACCAAGCACCTACAACTACACAAGACGTTAATAAATAGTAGATAGCAAGATTTAAAGATGCAAATTGATTACTTCATATCTTGCTTCTTTGTATTCAGATAATTATTTAACTCAGTGCATTTTCCGAGATACTTCACAAGCTGTAGCTAGCGTTCCGCAGCATACTGTTCACCGATGATACCAAATATTCATGTCACAAATACAAACACTGTTTCCAATTTATCAGTTTTGTCCTAAGGTACCATCTTTCTTTGTTCTTTTTCTCTAATGGAGACACATGATCAACACGAAAAAATATAATGGACATGGACTTATCTGGGAGCAGTGACTTGCTTATCCAGATGGAGATCGTTCCCAAGCACTTAGAACAACGGCCCTACACATGTAGCACGGTTGCATCTACAAATGATATAAAATCATGAATCTCCTCCGATCCGCTTTTCTCTTATGCAAAAACACTTCGTATTCACAATTTTTTGAAAGGTAGCTTATCCAGCACTATGTAAATGCTTCGTGTTTTTCATACGTTGATTAGCAACTGTGCAAGAAAACATTAGTTTCAATGACATACAGCTATGTCTCCTAAACAGGATGCAAGAAAAATATGCGTTACAAGGAGTAAAGACAGCAGTCGAAGATTTCAGCTTTGCAAAAGAATAGCATTTAATAATCCATGCGGACGAGCGTGGACAACCTAACAACGGGAAATCTTACAACAAGATCGGAAGCCGCATAACAACAGTCAGACGCGACCTGGTGTTGCGCTTTCAAGGTTAGAGTCCCAACCGAGTTCTACTCCAAAAATGAGGTTAAGATTCTGCATAATAAATATTGCTGTAAACGATCCAAATAGAATCCACCACAGATCTACTAGCATTTACCCAAGTGACAGATCACTTGAAGCACTTAGCTTCCAAGAGCTTCTCGCCTTGGATTGTGTCAGGCTCCTCGAAGTAGGCATTCACAAGCGTTTTCTGTTCTTCATTGCTGATGTCCACCTTGGTCCAGTCGTAGAGTTCGGCATCGTAGACCTCATCCATGACCATCTGTGGCATGTCTTGTCCCCTGAAGAGCCAGACTCCTCTAATCTTGAAAGGAGCTTCCTCGCCAAGAATGCACATCTTTCCGAAAGCGTACTTCCTAACCAAATCCATTCTTTGAAGGAATCCTCCAACTTTATTCATAGTCACAAAGGTTACTTGGTTCTCGTCATTGTACTTGTAATCACAGAACCACAAAGAGTAACCTTCAGCGTCGAACATTTCCCAGAATCCTGCCACATACAACCACCAAATTAGCTCACTATCAGCCCCAAACGTCCGAGACATGAGAGAAACACTCTGACTCTGCAGACTAGAATGACTAAAAAGTGCAAACTTGGTTATTCATTCATGGCAGTAAACATCTTGAGCACAAACACAGACAATCGGATCTATGCAGATGAACGCGAGGATGGACGCGAAGAATATCATACGCACAGACTAATAAATGGGAGATAAAAGCACAGCCTGGACCTAACCAACAAATACAGAGACTAATGAACTCACCGCTAATTGCCAAATGAAAATCCTTAGCCTTGGTGTTAGAATATAAACGCTTCCAGTTATCAAGAACCATTGGACTAGGTGGGAGCAAATCTAGAGTATTTTTTGGCTTCTTCACTGGTGCAGCCTCTTCCTCATCAACAACCTCGGGTGCGGGTGTTGGCTTCGGTGCCGGTGCGGCCTTCTCCTTTTTCGGCTTGGGTGCAGAATCCTTCTTGGGAGCTTCCCTCTCAGCTACGGAAGGCTTTGCAGTCTGGGGAGAGGGTAATCCCAAAGGCTTGACGGCTTGGGCGACCTCTCCGACGATTTTCTTAAAGTTAGGCTGATTAACGAGAGTCCAGAAGTACCTCTCCACGTGAGGGTATTCCGAGGTGAATTCCTTGGTAGCAGCCACCTTAAAAAGCGTTGCCAAATTGCAGGTAAGAACAATATCGGCTAGTGTCACTGATTCGCCAACCAAGTATGTTCGAGATGCAAGGTGCCCATTTAAGCAGGTCAACGCCCTCTTCAAGTTGCTGATGGCAAAGGCTTCCACCTGTTGTTAGACAAACGTATTGTAGCATCAGTCAGTGGCTAAATGAAACTAACACAATTTCATCTTCAAAGATCACTTACGAACAAAGAGTGAACATGAGGTAAAAATTTAAATCCTCAGCTCCACCCTGGCAACATCATATATTACATGAATATTCCGATACGAAGTAAAATATATTTCGAAGAAACATTACTAGACGAGTCCCACATACGTAGCAGAGCGAAGGGATACACCTGCTTCAGGATAAACACAATATCGAAGTTTGCGCTAAATTATAAATTACACCTAGGACAAAGAAAGCACCTCCTCGATGAAGGCAAAATATCCAAGACGAGGGTACACCCATCTTCCGATGTTGGCATCGACCTCCAAGGAAGAAAAATCGATCCATTGCTCCACCAACGCCTGTGATTTCCATCCCACTTGCCCATTAACACTTGAATTTTTCTAGCCAGAGAACACACAGGAAATCGCAGCACAGAGCCGGCCAGTGTACATGAGACGGACCTTTTCATAGGCCGATGAACCGGTCAGACCCACATCCTTCTTGTTAGCCACTGCACTCATGTAACACTCTGATCAGGGCCCCGAAACGATAAAAAGGAGAAAGAGAAAGACGACAAACTTACTAACCCTGAAATTTGTATGAAGAACACTAACCGTAGCGAGCCATGGCGTTACTTTCGAAAATGGGTCCGTCGGGAGTCTGAAGAACTGGGACCTGCATACACACAAGAGCAATCTTTAGAGACCGTGCATTCTTAGGCATAGTTAACCTGTAAGAGTGATACGAACACGGAGGGTACAACCGATACTAACTGAACCTCATCAATGTATGAATCAGGTCCTCCATCTTGAAGCTAATCGTATACATAAACGACCAGCTCAGTTTTATTCATGACATAAGAACCTAAAGGGGCTCTAACAGAACTGACGCGCACTGGCTCAAATCCTTAAAAATAAGATGAACCAATGTAAGACTCTACTATTTTGTGCCCACCCTGAGAGGTAAATCACTTGTACGTAATTTGAAACAAACACCAAATGAAAAATAAATAAAAAAAATGAAAAAAAACACGAAGCCTGATAAATCGTCTCAGCCGTCTAGTAGAAGGGTCCATCACATGATTTGCATCCATTCCTTGATCAGCCGCATTCGAAACAACGATGCTAGTAATGATAATGGATCTAGAACGTATCTACGCAACTCCCCCCCCCCCCCGCATTTGGACTCGACACCGTCCGCTCGCACATCATGTCTAAGCTTCGACTAAACTGACAAAGCCTCACAAACTGCAAGCAAACCTACAACCATCCAAAAAAGCGCACTCGTGCAGGTCATAAACTCCTTGACCACGACGACAGGCCATACCAGTCTCGAAGTATTACCTTTCCGATGGGATTCAACTTCAAGAATTCCGGGGTCTTGTTAGTCACTCCCATCTGGAAGTCAGGGGTGGTCTCCACCTTGACACCGACGTACTCGGCGGCAATCAAAGTCTTATAGGCATTTTTGTTCACCTTCGGTGAATGCAGCACCTACACACACCCAAGAGGAAAAAGAAACACACACACAAAAAACAAAACAAAACAAAAATACATCAGACTTCGCTCTAGGTCCACGACTACAACCCCTTCAAAACCCCCAAAAACGCCCCACCACCCTCAAACACCGCCTGACAACATCAAATCTTCGCCATCGAAATGGGCACCCAACTGAGAAGAGAAAAATAATGCCACCTCCATCTTTCCACCTAAACTGATAAAAACTAAGAGATGGGTTTTACCAAGCCAGCCATCACTGCGATGAGAAAATGGGGGGCAGCTGCAGCAGCTGTCGATGGTGAGGACGGCAATGCAGGGCCTTGCGAGGGAGAGACTAGACTGGAGCGGCTCAATGTGCAAAGGTTTGAGCTTTGTAGCACAGCAAAGCAAGCTTTGTAAAACCCTAAATCAGTGCCCCGAATGCTGCAGCGCTGCTGAACTGCACACACATCATCTTCTCAGCTTCTTCTTCTATAACTTCTCACTCTCTCGCAAAAGAGCCATCTTCTGTATTAAAAAAAACATCTTTGCAGAATAAGCCACTTTCTGTGTGCTCTTCATGGTGTGGATGCACGCTTGTGCTTATATTTAGTGTGTGTATTTTGTATAGAGTGTGTGTATTGGATTCATACAATTTTATTTCTTTATTTTAGGGGAATGTTAAATAGACCTATGTTTTTAATAAATCAACTCACCCATCTTATCTATGAAAAGTAAAAATGATATCTTGATTCATTTCTCCATTGGATCTGCAACCACAAGAAACCAACCACATTCATCATGATTATTGTATTCTTCATCAAGGGTGGGTATATTTAGTAAAAGCATGGGTGTATTTAACAGTCCTTTTATTTTATTTTAAAATTGAGTTGGTTTATTCTTGTGTTGGATTGGAGTTTGGTTTGCATATAATGATAATTGTGTGTATGGAGGAGTGTTTTTGGCTTTGGAATTAAGAATTAGAATTTATTCCTTATAGAAAAAAATATGAGGTGGTTTCTAGGTGATTAATAAAATCATTGATGTTTTCATTCTACAACCCAAATATTCATTTGTTTTGTTTTTATAGAGTCTAGGATTGGATTTTAAGGTTTTTGTAAGCATGTACTTAGTGTAGGTAGTATGTTCACATCTATGTTATTAACATATGATTTTACATGTTTTTAGAGATTCACAGATAGATTCTAGGATTTTATATTATTTACACTTAATATGATTCAAATCATCATGTTTATATATTTTTCATTTTGCATAAACCACCAAAAAATAAAAATAAAAATAAAAATAAAATACAACATGATAATATTATAATTTTGTAACAAATTGTAGATATGATTAGTTTGGTGTAAAACATTATTGTTATTATTTTATAATTGTATTCATATTGTATTATTTTTAATCAATATATATATATATATATATATATATAGTAAAATATTTTAAATATTTTAAATGGACACAAGATAAGAGGCTAAAACTTTTAAATCATATGATTGGTTAAAAGTAAGAAGTTTTAAGATTTTAGCCAATTAAAAGATTGAAAACATGAGTCATCTTACCTTGTTTCTTTAGTACAAAGACCTCATAAATAACATAGTGCTATTTAAGATTAACATTTTTTTTAAAAAATAAATTATAATTTTACACATATTTTTGAAATTCTACATCATAATCTTCAAATAATTTAAGTCTTTTTTATAATTATAGAAAATATCAGAAAAAAGTATATATATATATATATATATATATATATACGCATATATTTTTAGGAATAAAGATTTATTTTTATAACCTTATCTATGTATATTTTACTAAATGGTGTACCAAAAAAATTTAAAAATATTATTAGATATTAGTTGCTATACAATACTTAGCACTCTATTTTTAAATATATTGCCAATACTTAAAAGAATTTCATACATAATTTTTAGTATATGAAAAATATGGATAAAATACTTTCATATATGTTTTAAAACAACTATTATGTGAGAAGAAATTGATTTTATTTTAAGAGAAATCATGTTACAAATTTGTAGGAGTAAACTTGCTAAAATTTCTTAGCTCCTACAATAGCATGTTGTGTACAAAATCATTAGCTATAATATATTTTGAAACATTTGGAAGTATTTAAGACTTAGAGAATAAAGATTTTTGTATAAGTAGCAAATACAAAGTTTTATAAAGCAAGTAAAAACGTAAAATTTATCATTTTATGATATCCACAAAGTCCAATATTTATAGAAGTATGCCAATGCAATTATTTTTTTCAAAATCACCATATAAGAATCAATATACTTATTTGAGAGTACTTTTAAAAGTACATCTCTATTATAAAATACATTAGAGGAGATATAAATCAATAGGATAAACAAGAGAGACAAATTAGCCTTTTAATTGGCTAGAATTTTCAATCATCATTGTTTTCATCAAAACTTAGATTAACTTGTTAATTCACAAGGTCTTAATAGAACCAATCTTAGATTAAGGTGAGAACATCTTAAACCTTGAACTAGATCAAATCTAGCCCATATCAATATTTACTATTATATAAAACCAATGTCGTGTAATATATGAAACAAATTATTGGCAAAGTGCATAAGTAGTAGGCAATGGCAATAATTTCCTTGCATAGATATGCGCACAAGCAGAATAGGCAAATAGTGGTGCCAATGAGCCTCATGGTGAGTAGAAGCAGCATAGACCAATACAAACAAGTAGAGATGCTCATGGCCCAATTAAGAAACACAAATTTTTGGCAATAATTGAAGTAGATAATAGCATTCCACAAATTGTCACTTTATAGTGTGTTTGTGAGAATTTGATTAAGCCATAGAAGTGATTTAGGAGAGTAAATAGTGATATCAATATTTAAAGGGATAAGTAAAATAATAACAATGGTATGGATTATAATGCAAAATAGATGGTGGTGGAGCAAAAAAAAAAGTGATGCTAAAGAGTTATCTAAAGAAGAAGAGGATTTTATAGATTTAGATTACAAATACAAGCATGCATCCAATTGGTGTTAAAATGTCTTTATTAAATTTACAATTCTTATATATTCCATAGAATTGTAGTATTTCTTAAGAATAGTTGATTATGAATTGCATTGCATAGATTTAAGAGAAAATTACTAGTTTAGAACAATGTAATATTGGACTTTCTTCAAAAGTAAAAACTACTTTTAAGTATGTCCAATTCAATTTGCATCTAAGCTTGAGTTTGCCTTAAAAATCTAAAATTTGTATTTAAGCGCTATGTATAGTTAAGATATGCCATATTTTCTAATCTATATCTTTTTCAAAAATCCTTCTTTAAAGTCCAAATTTAGCAAAACATACTCAATGTAATGTTCTATATACATTCAACTTCTATATTGAGAAGTTACAACCCAGTTCAAATGGCATGGCAGCTATATCAAAGACTTTTCTAAGGATACATAGACCATCAACATATTTCTATTAAACACTCATGGAGGATTGGAATTAAGTATTATCTAAGAAATTACTTAAAATAGAAAATATAATTATTGCTTGATATGTCATTATAGTATTCAGCCAATTGGACTTATTTTTGAGTTTACATGTTGTATAGTATTCTTTATCCACGTTCAATTTACATTTGCATACAAGTATAGCTTCAGTGAGGTATCTTAATTGCCTTGGATGATGCATATAAATGATGTGACTTTTTTGGGAATTATTTTCTTTTTATGATAAACAAGTGCTTTGCAATACTATTCAAAAAGCGGGATTATTTCAATTCATTGAGGCATACAATGCATGCACAAGAAAAACAATTATGTATAAGGCTTATATTGGCATGCAAACAAACTGACATAATTCTTTTGATTAAATTTATTGTAAAGATACTAAAATACATATATAATTTAGATACATGTTTAATAAATTTACTACTAAGAAAAAAAAAAAAAAAATTGTAACAATGTCATGGATTCAATTAGTGTTTTTTTTAAAAAGTGGGGTCCAATTTTATGAACTTCTCTATAAACTTTTTAATGCCATAAGTAATTTAAATAATCTTTTTATTATCTAAAAAATATATAATTCATTAGATAAACATAAGATATTTGTACTTACTTTTGTAACTATTATAATATATATATATATATATATATATGGAGAGAGAAAGAGAGAGAGAGAGAACATACATCCAGTTAACAACCAATATTATTTATTTTTCTATTCATATAAAATTATCTTTATTGATTCAATTGATAATCAATTTAATTTAGGAGTTCTTTATATATATAATAGATGAAAGATAAGAAAATATAAAACCTTTGATTGATTGAAATTAAAAAGTGCAATTTAATTGGCTTTATTTTTTAAAAATTCAACCTCAAGGCTTAAAGAAGAAACAACAATATATATATATATATATATATATATATATATATATTTTTTTTCTACATAGCATAAATAGGATTATTTCCTCAATTTTTTAGTAGGTTTACCTTAAAAGTTGTTAATACAAAAAAATCCATAACGTATATAGCTCAAAATAATGATTGAAGTATCTTAAAATTTTATATTTATTTTATTTTTATTCATAATTTTTGGATTTAAGATACAGGCTATTATAATAAATTTATATTAAAATAATATTTTTATTTATTTTATAATATTTTTCTTACTTTATACTATCTCCAAAGACCACAGATCCTAAAGTATAATTTTTCTTTATTAAAGAATAGATTTATAAAGACTTTTGTTCCATGGCCTTTTAAAGTGGATTTTTAGATATAAATATATTTTATGTAGAAAAAAAAGAGAAATAAATTTAAAAAAAAACACAATCAAATTATAATATTAGTTATTGATAATAATTGAATTAAATATATATTTAGATGTCTAATTTCTTCAAAAAAACTAAAGTTGTGAATATATTCTACATGTAAATATGCATCATTACATAACCTAAGGAAGATGAATACACTATACAAGTATAAGTGTGTTATTAAATAAGTCAAGGAAGGTGAATAAAATTAATTCTATACATATAAGTTTATTATTAAATAATCAAAAATCTACCAAGATATATTCTCAAAATAAAGGTTTATATATAAGCTCATGAAGGAAACTCTCACTAAAAAGTATTGAAGTGAGAAGTTGCATTAAAAAATAATATTATTTGAATAGAATATCCAATATAAAAAAAAAAAATCATACTACTTCATATGAAAGACACATCTTTATAAGAGAACAGTAAGAATATTTGCTTGATTTTAGAAAAAAGAATTAAAGGTATGAAAGAGTGGATTGAAATCATATGGTTTCTATCTCTTTCTTTTAGTTTATATAAAACAAATGCATTAGAAAATATTATTATCGAGAGAATTAATTACAAGACTATCATATTACAATTATGCAATAATGTAAGTTACTATATAAACTATATAAACTATTTTTATATAAAATATTAATTTATATATATATATATATATATATATATATATATCTTTTCACATCTATTACTATTATTTTTTTACAATATAGCCATCTTAAGTAAGATATATTTTTTTAAACCTCAAATTTTTGGTCTAAAACATCAATAGATTCTATTATAGATGTAATATCTTTCTTAAGACGTTTCTTAGACACATAATAGATACTAAGACTTTTATAAATACGGCAAGTAGCTATTAAAAAAATTCTTAAAATTTGTTCTTTTTTAGAAAGTTACTTTTGAATCAACCTACAATTTGATACTTAAACCACAAGCCTTATAATCTTCAGGAAGCTTCTATAGGACCTTCTTAGTACCTAGTATATATGGATGTAAGAGTGAGATCACCCTTATTGTTATCACCTCTTATAATTCAATCTTAGGTTAAGGATCTCTAGTTTCTTTGTAATTGGTAACAATTCTTTTAGTTTCATTATATCTTATATTAATCTCTTGTTTAAGTACTATCTTTCATATCGTAACGCAAGAGAGTATTTTTTTCTTAAAATTTTGTCTTGATTCATATCTTTGATAAGATTTCATATCATATAAAAGTATTAAAATGATGTAGTCTTCTTTGCAACAACTAATGGTGTTGGGATTTTATAAGCCTTAATATAACTGTTGTTTATATGTTGTAAAAACTACAATACACATGTAAAATAAAATAAAATAAAATAACTACAATAAAGATGATTTTATTTTTATTTTAAATTTTTTGTATTTTTATTTGAAATAGTTTCAGAAGAATAAAAAAGGAAAATCACTTTCTGAGAATCACATCAAATCTTCTTTCTTATCTATAATGATATCAAAGAAAATTAAAAATAGTTCACAAAAACATATGCGGAGATTGAGGATTAGATTGTAAATTATGGAATATAATATCTTCCACTACATCCATAAAATTTTCCATGAATAAAAGATGCATATAAAATTACAAATTATAATTGATGGTATTGATAACATATAGATAGTATCTTCTATCTAATCAATTGAATCGTCTATTTAAAATGTCCAAATCTAATCTTGTATTATTTTCTCTTAAATAATTTTATGTCTTTTAATATTTTTGTTTGAAATACTTAATCTTGTTTAAGTTTTAACACATATGAACATCTACAAATAAAGCAAAATGATTGCTTATAATATAAATAATTTTATTAATAAAATAAACATTAAAAATTATAAAATTATATTCTAAGTAAAAAGATACAAAGTAGTAATTGTATCTTTTTCTACCTTAAAATATAAGTAAATATATTACTTTATTTTTTTCATATTTTTATAGTAAACATAATTTTTTTTTCTTTTCAACTAATCTAACATTATAGAATGTGAATCGCCATTTCACTTCTTATATTATATATTAGTTTTATATTTCTTAAATCTAAGAAAAAAAATCCAATATACTAATTGTGTTATGTCATTCCAATTGGTATTCCAAAAACTTGTAATTTAGGAACTACATCCATTTGGAATATATTTAACAAAACTAGAAGTTACATAATTTTGGTGCATTTAGAATAATAACAAACCAAGAAGTTTATTTTAGATATTTATATATATAGTTTTAATAAAAAAAATTATATTTTTCTTTAAAAAGAATAATAATACATTTAAAATCATATCTATTTTATTTAATAGATTTCAATAAATAATATTATTAGTTTATTTGAATCAAAACACATATATATATATATTATATGTTATCTTTTGATGCATATTCTATTGCTCTAATATTACAAAACTTAATCTTGAATGGAATATTTAAAAAATACAAGCATCAAAAGAATAAAAACTATAAATCCATAATTATATTTTTAATTCCTATAACAAGGAAAAATTTAAAAATGTAATTAATTGAGCACATAGCTGCAACTTGAAAGAAATATTTTTAATTAATTAATTATTATTTGTAATATAAGGCACTTCTAAAGAAAACTTAACTATTGGGAATAATGAATTGTGGCATTTTCAATGGCAGTCATAAGTTCTTTAATATGTTTTGATCATTGTTATACTTATAACATTATGCAGTAGATCTAGTTTGCAAAAGCAACTTGTGAGACTATATATATATATATATATATATATATATAAATATATATATTCTTTTCTTTCTTTCTTTCTTTTAATATTAATGATGTTTTATCATCTTTGTTATTACATAGAACTTATAAAGAAAATATAATAAATGATTTATTCATCAAACTAATGTCTAACTTTGAAAAATTACTAAAAGAGATTAAGAGATTGTCTTTTTTAAAAAATTATGTTTCTAGCAATTGGATTTAGATGGATGTTGTTAGATGCAACTAATTTCTATGCACAACCATATTTTTATCAAAATGATTTGTCTTCTTCTACTAGGCTTGGTATCCTAATGCAAAATGCTTTGGCATTTAAAATTTTAAGAAATATTATATGGATTAAATATAATGGAGTAATACCTCTATTTGTTTAAAAAATGGTGATAGGAAGCCACAACCCAATTCTCCAAAGATGCAACATTTTAGGTGTAGAAGTTGTAATTTCATTTTTAATAATATATATATATATAAAAATATATATATATATATATGCAAAGAATAAGTCATAATAAAAATATTGTATAACATATAGATAAAAATTAATTAAAATTAATTATATATATATATATATATATATATATATATGCATTATTTATTATAGACTTTGCAAGAGTATTGTATTGTCCAAACAATAGGTCTTAGGACAATTATTTTTTAACATGTAAACATAAGGTATTTAAAACTTATCAACATTAAGGTATTAGCAATTCCATTGTTTACAAAAGTATTGCATTCACATACTCCTTGATGTATGCATCTTTACAATGCTTGTAAAGATAAGTATAAATGGTTTATTGTACAATAATCAACTATACAAACCAAAGTTCCATTATATTTAAGATTTTCATAACACAATCACAAACTAGTTTTCAATATAAATAAATATATTTACATATATTTATTTTGATTTGTAGGGATTCTTAATCTTGTTCAAAGAAATACTTGGCTACTCAACTATCTCCATGAAAACTCTCAAAACTCTCAACTTAAAGAAATTCAAATTTTACTCATCTTATTTCAAAAAAATATATCACAACAAAATAATGTACAACTTTGCAACACACAGACATTATACACTTACCATAGCATAGACATAAAATTGCTCAACAACATACACCTCATTCCTTCTATCAAGCATTGCAGTACAACAACCAATAACTCTAGTTTGATGTTCAAATCTACCTTCCAAATATCTTGTAAAAATAGAGTACGTCCTTGGCACCCTTCACATTGCACATAAACATATGATGAAAACGGTTCTTACCAGAGAAAACAGACTGCACCTCTTGAGGGCACAAAACTGAAAGCTATCCATTGCAACCTCATTACCTCATTGGCTGAACTGCCTTTTGACGGAAGTTTTTACATTGCCTATTTCTGTCACGCCGGCGACCTCCTGTGGATAGTTCAGAGGCAACCCCATCAAACTTGCCAAGGGAACAGTAGCCAAGGGCACTCCCGGAAATTAGGCTGGAGATAAAAGCTCCAAGATCAGTTGAACAGGCTTTCGAACTTCCAGATTTCTCAGATCGCGAAATTCGTCTCAAACAGGTACAAGACTGTAAACCACTTGGTTACCTCAGAAATGATGTGCGGTAAATACCACTGTTGAATAAATCGCCAGACCTAATAAAAAAATACTGCTGAAATCCCCGAGTCTATGGCAACTAAAGCATCGAAGAAGCGATTTCTTTAGAGAGCAGCGCTTGATTCAGTAACTCCAATACAACCCAGAGGGCTTCGAGAGAATCATTGCTCGTCTCCGGAACTACAGGTAATGCTGTGTTCACGCTCTGAGATGATGAAAGATTACACCTGCATTCGATTTACAACAAACAAGATGATTCCGACTGTTAAGAGTACATTAGTTTAAGTGATGCCATAGCATGTAATTTACATATTCGACTTCTGTGACATCAGACACTTGTAAAGGTGATTGCTGCACATTTTTTCCTCCTCTATATCTGGATGCTCTGAATCGAAATAGGATTCCAAAATTGCAAGTCGTTCTAATGCACCAAAATCGGCACGCAGCCCAACGAAGGCACTGCCTATCCTAGCACAGCCAGTTTGGGGCCAACGACAACTTTCTCCCAGTCGCAGCCTACAGCTGCTGTTGAAATCAGCACCACATGGTCTTCGAAATACATCAACTGTTCCATCCACGTCTGACCGCAAAGATACAGAGACTGAGAGCTGCCGTTCCATGTTGTCATCATCCTTCACATTACCACCTACAGTACTTGAAGTCTGGCAACTTCTCTCGCCTCGCACACCAGTAAAATCTGGACTATCTTCAATTGAGGCATCTAAAAGTTGTGGCGCTAAATTATTTATGCGAATATTGCAACCAACAGCCTCTATAACTTGCTTCAAAGCTGCAGTCTCCCGTCGCCCACGCATGGCTGCTGCCATGGCCGCTATCCGCCCTTCTTGTTCCTCCCGCAGCTGCTCCAATAGCAGCTTCTTTTCTGCCAATAACTCTCGAACTTTCTCCTCCGCTTTATCCTTTGCCTACACAATAGCGAATAAAATAACTACTACAGGAATATGAAAACAGTGAAAAACGTTCACTGCACAACGTGCACAATCTTGATGGACATTTAAGTGTGTGTGTTTATACATACAAAGTGTGAGAGAGTGAGAGTCCTCACTTTTCGGACAGTTGAGAAGGTCTCAGCAAGTCCATGTGCAGCTGATTCAAGGTCACCGCCATGAGCCCAGCCTACAGGAGGATTGCCTCCAGTATTTGCAGGGCTAGCACAAGACCAGCGTAAAAAATATTGGCGCCACAAGCTGGGAGCGGAAGCTGCAGCTGGTGGAAGCAGAACTCCAGCATTTTGAGAGCTATTGTAGAACAGATTATAGTGCTCATGTTCTTTTCCCCTCCGGTCACGTAACTGCTTCATATATGCCCACACACAAGAAGTAGACTCTGCAATTCCTCCTAAAACTCTATCCTTTTCGCTGCAAACCAACAACATTTATTATACTAATGCACTACATTATAGATACTCCGAAAAATAACCATGTATCTAATAACCGCCAAAATACAGGAGTAGCTGAAGTTGCAGTGGACAAGAAAGATAACATTGTCAGAATCGTTTTGCGCAACAGATTAACAAATCTAAAATTTGCGATAATTATCAGAACGATCTGAAAGGAAAAATATACCTGTTACAGAGGAAGTTCCCAAACCGGCATGAAAGTACGCAATCCATAAGATCCACAAGGTATGCCTAAAAGGTTTGAAACGAAAAATACATTACAAGGCAGATCATACTCTTGAACTTCAACATCAGTTACTTCATTGGCAAAACAAGCTGTACTCTGGATACGAATATATATATATATCCTCTAACCACCACTCACAGAGTTGGCTCATGATCCACTTAAAGTACAGAAAATTTCATTATAAACATGACAGATCACTCGCATCCAGTTGATTATAACACCTCAAAGGTATAACGCTTGCGAAAATCCAAAACGCTCGCAACAAACTTACTTGGGTAAATTCAAAAGCACTCGGATAGATTCGCAGAAGCTGAGCCACGGCATCCATCCACTGTGCAACCAGATGAATTAGTCAGAACATTTCTTGTTCTCATGTCGAAAAATACTGAACAAATCACCTTTTAAAACTGACACTTAGGGGAAACAGACATTTACCTGCAGAAAAATTGGTGAGTAATTATTGGACTGTGCACCCGGTGAGTGACTGGCGACAGAAGACGAAGAATTCTCGACAGCACCTCGACCTGGTGACGTGGAAGCCTGGCCTGCTTGCCTCATCAGTGAATCAGTAGCAGACAAGTTTCGCGTCCCCGTGAACGTGGGAATTCCCAATCTATCTGAGAACATGTGTCCAAAAGCTAGCCAATCCTTCTCTACCAGTGCCTGATCAAGTGCCATTGGTTTGCATTATCAAACGGTGACACGGCATTATGCAATAAACGAAGCAACTGTAAAATCCAACCTCGGTCAAATCATATCAACGATACCGGAAATCATGTTTCTTCTTAAAATGCCATTGACCCGTCATATCATGACGTACTGAAGTAACTTAACAGATATAAGTGTTCAAAATTCCACACGAAGGACATCTAAAATGGGCTCCTTTACCTGAAATCCCTGAAAAGTACGGTAATATGGATCAAGGAGGAGGCTTGCCAAAGAAACTAATTGTGTCGTTCTATCCCATCCGTCACTGTAAAAACACAACATAGCGAATTGTTGTTTTGCGATTAAAACTAACCCAAAGCGCAGCCGTAGAATCAAACTATATAATCTAAAAATTCAGAACTTATATAGTAAGTACCTGCAATGAACTAGAACGGAAGCACCCTCAAGGTGAATACGAGCGGCAATCCAAACAGCACTTGTTATAATCTTATGACAGTGGAGAAGCCAGCCACTATCCCCTAACGCCGATGCAGCTCCTGCTACACTAGCTACATTCCCTCCAACCCATGCACGTCCTCCACTCCGCTGTACCCAAACCCTTCATGTAAGTCCATGTACAAGTCCATGTACAAGAGCAAGATAGCAGGGTCTAAGATTCAGAAGAGAACCAGACTAAAAACTAACTGAAGGAACCCCTACCACTTAAACCAGTTGACATCTGCATCTTGTTATTAAAACCACTAAAAGGACTATTCATACCAGTAAAGAAGATGATCCATCAGAGGAAGATGCGCCGTGGGTGTCCAAGAAGTCACGCATCTTAGTCAAGCTATCACGCATCCCATGAATATTATCGATGCCCAGGAAAATCACCTGATGTAATGGTTTCAAAAGGCCGATTAGCAGAGTTTTTGAAACGATACACAGCTCACAATACCACAAAAAATAAAATAAATAAAAACACCAAATAAACAGGTCTTACCTCAGATTGTAGATAGTTAGCAGATGATTCCGAACCGCCACCAAATGCACTGTTAGCTAGCGCATTCTTTCTTGGTCGAGCATCAGCAATGTACAACTTCCTGCTACAAACAGATGACGTTATATGCGTAAACTATTGAATGTTCGTTCAACATCAAAATAAATTAACAAGGCTAACATTGCAATATTGATGAGCTAGTGCAATGAAAAACCCATAGAATAGGATTGAATTGCAAATTCCAAATCAAATCCGAAATTAAAGACTCTGGAACAAGATCCCTAACATAAGCTTCATACAAGTGTAAAACATCTGTACAAAACAGTAATTGTGACACAAGAAAAATACCTGCGCTGATTTATAGTATCACAGACAGCAGCGACAAGCTTTTCATCAGCAGTGCTGCATAAAGCCAAATTATTTGAATGTCAGTACTTTCCGCAAGTATTCATAGTGTGTTGAAGTAGCCATTAAACAAACCACAAAAACACAAGCAATAGAGAAATGTCACAGAAGAATCCCAATAACTCAATCGATAGGGACTAGCCTAACCACTCCGTGGCACTACACCATTGCGTGCATCACGTCGTAGCAAGCCCTACCTGCGTGTCATCCCGAATGCTGTAAATGGTTGAGAAGATCGAGCGAGCACAGCTCCATTATCTGCACATTGCAGCAAGTGTCAATCTCATTAAGCTAGAAGAGGTAGACCATTTAGATACAATCATTACGCTCAACGCCTGGCATTATATAAAACTAAATGGACAATAAAAATATAGTGTGCATACCAGAGTGCTGCCAGCAAAGATGCGCAAGCCTACCCCTTGAACGAAAATGAGCGGCTAGCTGTATTTCGTCATCACTACATCATTTGTCAAAGAATCAATTTGTTAAAGAAATAATAGTTATTTGTATAAGCAGCAGTATTTATTCAAGACTGCATGTCTATCTTCAAGAAACCCAACCATCTTGCCAAAAGACCATAAAGCAGATTTCACACAATCATTTTAACCATACTACTGGGAAAAAATAGAATCTCCAGGAAATTTAACCCATTAATAGAAGTACCTGATAGATGCAGGCATCACCATAAGCGATGGATACGTTGGACACACATTGTAGTTTGCATTCACTTCACTAAGTCGCCAGCTACTGCCACGTTGAGGTTGTTGCGATGTATTTTGAAAATCATGAGTATACCCGGACATCAAGCGGATATATTCCGCACGCAATCGTTGGCGCGAAGCACCGCTTGTAGGAAAGGGATCAGAAAAAGCGTACAAATCCCATAATCGCGTAGGTCTTGTACGATACACCAAAGCCTCGCACACCTTCCTTCTCTGACAAGATCAAGGATTCCAAATCTTTAAAATTTAATCCTTTGAATACTTTAGAATTAACATTAATAAAGAAAATCAATGCTGCCAATCCTGCCAACGAGAAATAGCAACAGGTGAAATGGGTCTTGAATTCTGAATTTACCTGCTTCGTGTGAGGCAAAAACCCATATGTAACAGTTCGCAAATCCTTTCCTACATTAATCCGATATCTTAGGTTCACGTGTTTACAGGTGAATACATGAAGGATCCGCTGTATCAAGCACGACGAATATGGATGCAGCAGTTAACATATTAAAAAACACCAACTTATTCCCAGCTGACATCCTACTAGGATAATTGTGGTCTAATTATAGAAGACACTTAAACATCACGCACCAAATGCTGTAAGAAAACGCCTCGATGCTGTACTTGAAGGCCCTATGGGTGTTTTGACAACCTGCACCTCAAAGTTCGACAGATCATACGCTTATCTCTGTCCGTAGTCTTCGAGAAACCCATCCTCTCAACATCGCAAGAGAAAACAAAAGCTCTCTGTACGCTCAAAGCATGGAGATAGCAAAGTAAAGGAAGCAAGAGCTTAAGCACGCCCTGGGAATGTACCGATTCAAAGACGACGCGAGTAATTAAATATTAAAATTAACAAAACACGGCTATAAAAAAATCTGGTATTTAACCAATGAGTCACATACTGTACACCACTAAACCAGTAAGTAATCTACTTCAAGAGAAACGATGGTTAACCTGCTTAGAGAAATTTTCGATGGTTAATAAGGGAATCGTCCCGAGCGGTAATGGCTGCTTTGCACCTCCACCCTGCACCATCAACAAAATTATGTAGTGTAAGATGAATGTTGCGTCATCGATTAGGTTTCAGAGAACGCGAGATCAAGAGCAACTGCAACAATACCCCAGAATACAAATTTTAAAACCGCAGTTCGCCCTTCCCAAACTATTGGACCAGAACCGTCAATAATCATCAATATGGCATTGTCTGAGCCCAAAGATAATCCTCTCTCGCGAATAAAGCTGATGTATAAATTAGGTACTCATAAATTACTTAAATTTGCTGAGAAATGCAGAGGTGTATAGACGTTTGCTGCGAAACATGTAGTGTTAAACATATAGTTAGGTTGACAAGAACATGCCAACGGCGTGAGCCATACCAAGAAAACCACTCGAAAATTTGTGACAAACAACGTGCCGGCTATCTCCAAATTCACAAGCACCGCTCCACGCGCCTGCACAGAAGTAAGATATAATGCCACTACACAAGGTTCCATAATTCATTGTGACGATCAAACCAGACCTCGCAAGCAAGTAATACAGCTCACCAACCTATCAACTCCACGCTCCAATTATGAATTGTAATCATGGCACAACTAACTGATCAAGCTACACTTTTTATATTGCCCGCTCCGTCACACTTGCAACCATTCAACCTCGTAAGACCGTCGGCATTTCTCCAACGCTCATAAACACACAATGAGCTCCAAAATCTATAATCCCATCGCAAACTTCCGATTTAAAAACCAAACACAATAAAACACCCCGCTCCAACAAGAAAAATAAAACATGTAGAAAGACAAACCTCTTCAACAATCGCCTCTGATGGCAACAGAAACCCGTTTCCCGCGTGCACCATGCCCCTCCCCGACCCCTGCAATCCAAATGCCTCAGAATCCTCAATTTTGAAAACAACAGCACCGCGATCAAAAACTCAAGATCCTTCCGAAAAAAAACAAAGATAGAAAATCTTGGCACCTTCGACGAGGCGTGGTTGCCGACCTCCACTGGCGTCCAATCCAAGCCATCGACCCAGCTCTCCCCCGAGCTTGCCATCTCCATGCTGTGCCATCCCACCATCGCGATGCGAACCCGCTCAACCTGTCTACAATCCTCCCATCGTTGTCCTACAGCAATCCATGCCCTGTCTCAAAATTAATCCCTAATCGCGACGGTAAGTTCCACTGATCCTGTACACTAACATCAACATGTTCCGACTCCAGTCCAAGCGCGCCACCATCGATCGTCGGCAATTGCGCTGCAGGCATGATAGTCACTCCCTCACGATAATTTAATTTACTTGAGAAGAATGCGAATGCGTGGCGCTGCGATTGGGAGTTCGGCGCCATGTATTTGGGTTGAGATTCAAGGCACTGCGGTTCTACTTACGTAAAGGTCGAAGCCTGGCGTGGCGTTGTCTTGGCACGGCCTATGTGGCAACACCACGAGGGCACGGGACTCCTTTTGGCACTCAAGAATTTTCCTGCTTGCCAGCGTGGCGTCCTAGGTGACGGACACCGTGGAGGATCTCTTGGGTTCGAACTTCCACGTCATTCTTAGATAATGCGAAAGTTTAGGAGAGAGATTTAAAGTAGGAATTGAGTTACCCTTATATGTTCTCTAAGCTCCGCCCAATTGGGTGTTGTGGGCTAAATGAATAAAAATACAGTATTCTCAGTAAATGAATTTTTTAAACAATTTTTTTAAACCCTTTCAAACATCTTCTCACTGTGGTACAAGATTTGTTTTTTTATTTTTATTTTATTTTTCATTTTTTCTTCTTATGCAATGATTGAATGAAATTTTGTTTCAAAATTTGCCATTAGTTAATTCCTTTTTATTTTATTTTTATTTTTCTAGTGTTTGAATATAATAAGACAATTGAACAATAGTGATTATCCATGTATAGAAAAATGTTACATCACTATTTTTTTTGTGTGTGTATGTGTAAATTTTAATAACAACTTATTATATATTTCAATTTTTTAGAATTGTAGAACATTACTATTTCATTATTATTTTTTTATGGTTCTTAAGAACATAAAGTACTTGATGAAATATATATTAAGAAAATAAAATAAATGCATATATATATATATATATATATATACACTACTTATATGTGTACATTATGTATTTGCATTTAAATAATCAAATTCTCATTTAAAATATTAAGACTATAAGTCAACAAACTGTTGTCCACTTCATATTTATTTTCTTAATGGTTACATGATATGTCTTAATAGTTGTGTTTTTTAAGAAATGCTAGTTTTTAAAAATTAAAATAATTAGTATCATAATAAATATCATTATTTTATAAATTAACATTATTAGGATTAATTTTTTTGACATAGTTCTCCATTGTTTTTAAGATACTCACAAATATTTTGATGTCTTCACAAGGTTAAAAAAAAAACTTGTTGTTTGAAATGTAACATTATTTGCACATGTCACAAAATTTCTTCCAATGTACCCTTTTTTGCTAAAAAAAGAGTTTATGTCTCTCACATTCAATCAAAAGTTAATAAGTTATTTAAACATGGTCTATACATATTATTAGTGTCATATTAATTATAATCCAGATCATTAAACTTTTCACACAAATGGGTACATTTTTAAAAAAAATCACAATTCATAACCATTGCACTTCCTCATGAAAAGACAAGCACAATAGTAATAATAATAATAATAACAACTATTTCAATCATGATTTATGTTAAAAAGTCATGACACTTGGCATTTTGGAAATTAAATAACAAATATTGTTATGAACTTTGAATTTAATTAATTCCAATTTTATTAGATTTATCAACCAAGATCAACTTAAAATTTATTTACATGGTACATGCGACTTGATTATGACACCCAAAAATACAATAAAAAAGTAGTCTACGTTTAAACAGCCCTTAATGGCAAAAATGACAGTGAGGAAAGGATGCAAAAGAACCTCGAAATTTAAAATTTAAAGATTCCCGCCCCCGCCAAAGTGGAATGATGTGGACTGCGATGTTTTGGCGGGAAATCGGGTCGGTTTCCGCGGGTGGTTCGAGATAGCAGACAATGTGGGCCCAACGCCGAAGCAGGGTTTGCTTGGAGATATAGCGTGTGGCTGCAGAATGAGTGGTTTTCAAGGGAAGAATCTGGAAATATATTTGCTGAATTAGTGCGAAAGATGTGTTGAGGGGTCTGCAGTTGCAAGGCAATTCTATTCCATGCGGGAGACATCTTAGTCTGCGGTATCGAGGTTTCTTTTGTGTGCACGAACTTGAAGTATTGGAAACCGAGGCGGCTTCTGTAAAGAGTTACAGAAAGGTCTACCTTCTGTTGCCACAGCACCTTAGTTCAGAAGCTTTTGGTGCAACAGCACGCGATACGATATAACCTGACCTAAATTGTGATCCAATTAGCTGTAAGGCCATGATTACAGCTAATTAATCTTTCTTGCGAAGAATTTTCTCAAATAAAAATCAATAAGATGAAGCTTATAATTTGTATCTATTTGTGGTAGAATTGTACATAATGGAAAGTCAAATGCATCTATTTCCATAAAAATAGCTTTAAATTTTTTTAGATAATATAAAATAAGAGGTGAAATAAAGGCCATTTTCAAACCTTAAAAAATTACTTTTGCATCTTTACTTTATTCTAATTACTCTTTAGAAGTTAATTAAGTAGGAAAAGTGACAACTTAAAAGCAATTTTTATTAATTATCCAATAATAGTTTATAAATTCTAAAAAATATTAAATATCACATGTAATTTTTAGAATATTTTAATCAATAATAATTTATATATTTTTAGAAATTATTTACGAAATACCATTTGAAATAATGTATCTTAAAAATTCTATTTAAATTGTAAAAAAAGACACAATTTTCTATCTTAGCATATAATCTTGTATCTCTAAGTTTTTATAATACAAAGCAAATATGTGGTTTATATTTTTCTATATTCTTAGAATAGATAAAAAAATACCATCTAAATAGCACATGAAAAATTATTCAGTTAATTATAAAACTTATCATTCTTCAAATGCTAGAAAGTAGCTAGAACAATTATAAGTCCAAATGGTATAACACAATATTCAAAATGGCAATACATAGTTTTAAAATATTTTTTTATTTTTTTATTTTTTTATTTTTATATATGTACCAAATTATAAGCTCTTTATAGATTTATTTTAGTATAAATCTTAACTTCACTAAATTGATCAAAGAGTCTCAATATTAAAGACAAAAGATAATAATTCTTGATGGTTAGTTTGTTCGGTCTACAATAATTGACACTTATTTATAAGGATTTACTATTTTTTCTTTGTATAAAAGATTGACGCTCCTCCATGAAATTTTGAATGTTAAATAAAATTCTTTGAAAGATTTTCATTAACATATTTCTTCAAAACATAAAGTTTATTGTGCAACAAGTTGTAAATTAGTTTGAATCGTAGTTGAACTCCTTCTTGAAGATAAATTGTACAATTATAAGATTATAACTATAAGAAGTTGATATTATGAGATGTATAATTGATGGTTTATAATTTTCCAATAATAAGGTTTCTACTACAACTGAATGTCTTTGTTTTTCAACTCTTTTATGTTCAAATTTTACATTTTTTTCTTTGAATCTTATTGATTAGATGCAAATATTTTGTACCTTATGACATGATTTTTTACAACACAAATATAAGTTTTTATGGCAAAATTTGTCTTTTTTTTTTTTTTTTTTTTTTTTTTTTTCTTTTGATGTCAATTGCTTAAATTGGATTGTATAAATTTGTATAGGTTTTAACTTTCATAAATAAATTTCTACAAACTTCGAAGTTATTGTCATGACTTGATTTATTCCTCTCAAATCAAAACTTTATTCTCTCTATCTTTAAAATAATTAATTATTGCATGTAATCGCTTGATTGAAAAATCATTCCAATCCACATTATAAGGAAGGCTTTAGAAATCAATAACTTAGATAGTAATTGATTATGACACTTGTTGTAAAGACTAGAGTTTTTTTTTTTTTTTTTTTTTTTTTTTTTTTTCCACTACCTTTTTTTAATCACTTTCTCCAAATTAATTATAAATACTTCTAAAATAAATTTAGATTATATAAGATTTGTAAACACTTTTTTATCGAAGATAAAAAAACAAGAGAAATCACTTTGAGATAAGAATACATTTATAAATCTAGCTTGAGTAATTTTGTTAAAATATTAAGAAAGATGTAATATTAAATAAAACTTAGCTTATAATAGAAACCTTTAAAATTTTAATCTTGTTCTATCAAAATTATCTATTATACTAATCTTTACATCTTTTATACTTGTAGTGGTAAGATTTTTTGAATTAACTTTTTTTTAACTATACAAATTCTTTGCATTGACATTGGATTTCTTTATTATTGGAAAATTATAAACCATCAATTATACATCTCATAATATGTAGTAGAAACCTTATTATTGGAAAATTATAAACCATCAATTATACATCTTCTTTGCATTGACATTGGATTTTCTTTAAAAATATTAAAAAGTTTGTAAAATTTTACAATAGTTACAAATCTATTTTCTTTTCTATCAAGTACAAGATCATTTTTTTCTTCCATGTTTATAATAGAAAAATTTTAAAAAATTATAAGTCAAATTAATAGAAGATAATTTATAAATTTTAATATCAAATAATTTTTTTCATAGAAAAGGTAGTTTATTTGCCTTAAAGAAAGAAAAAATAGTTTAAAAAATATTATTTTAGAAATAGATAGTTTGTTACATTTAAAAGATAATAATAAGAAATAAAGTAATTTTTTCACTTTTGAAACAAAACACATATGATAAATTAGCACTCTTTTTAAACTATCAAAGATGTGAATTAAATTTATTTTTTAAAAATAATAATATATTCTTATATCATCAAAAAAAAAATATAGATATAAAATTTTAATTTTAATAAATATTATTAATTATTAAATAATTAAGAAGTATTAAATCAAGATATAATATTTTCAAAGACATAAATTACAAAATAATCAAAGAACCAATATGCTCTTATGTTATTAGAAAGAATAGATAACCACTCAAAGATAATTATAATATTAAAACTAAAATGACTCTTATTGAAGACAAGAAGACTAGAGACTCTTGAAAAAATGCTATAAAATATATATATATATATATATATATATATATATATATTAAAGTAAAAAAAGCCTCACTCTTGCCTTTCTATATACTATATAATTAAAAAAAACATATTTTCATATGTTCTATAAGATCCTTTATATGTGTCAAACTTGTATAATACATGTTTAACTTGTAAGATAAGTTTCATATTTGTGTGCCACATGACTAACTTGTACCACAAGTAGCTAACATATGTGACATGTGGTCAACTTGTTAGTCTAGTTTTTTAACCTACCAATCACCAAAAAAATATGAATAAAGTCAAATCTACATCTATGAAATTGTGTCTTTTTTAATTGTGTCTTTTTTTATAATTTTTATAATTAATAGAAAATTTAAAATAAATTACTTATTTGAACTTCTTTGCTATAAGTTGGTTTGATCTAGGCAAATACCATCTTTTTAAGCTTAATTTGAATGTTAATAAAATACTTTCAAATAATAAATTTTAAGCCTATCAATTTACTTATTGTCTTTATACATCAAATTTATATTAAATTAAATTGGTCAAACTTATTTATATAAGTATTATTACAAAAAATTTAAATGCTATTATTTCTAAAATACTCTATGAGATTTGTATAATGGTCATAATTATTAAACCATAGTAGATTGGAATTCCTTAAGTTGTCTTTAGTTGAAAACTTACAAAAGAGTTATTTGGTTTTAGAATGGTGGCACTACCCAAATTGTAAATACAATAAATTTTATTTTTATCTTAAATATTTATTCTAAATATAAATTAATAATGTAGATTTTCTAACATATGTCTTATAGTTAAATAAGTCTTTGATCCATCACAACAAGCTCTATTCGACTTTCTTTAAGTAATGATTAATTGTTTTAGTAAGGCAATAACAAACTTATAGTCAAAGTAATAATTATTTTTTTTTCTTTTGGTTCAAACAATATTCCTTTTAATCAAGTACATCTTCTTCCTCTATTGCTCTTATTTATAATCATCCCTCTTCTAAGGTGTCTTTTTTTTGCCAAATGTGATCTAATTTGACCCACTTTCTTTACTGCGTATATTCAAAAAAATTGACCTGCTGTTTCATTGCTATTGCAAACATGAGACTTTGCACGACGATTGAGACACAAAACAGTGCATATAGGTGCATTCTACTTGTGTTGGTTTGCAGATGATGAGAAAACCAAAGTTTGCACTAAGAATGTGGTCGATGACGTTGAGCGTGGTACCTTGGAGGTGTGTCCATGGCCAGTTGGGTTTGTAGATGCAGTTGCGTGGAACATTAATGGCTGTTTTGCATGCCCAATGCTGGTGAATGGACGTCTTGAACGGAAGTCAGTCCCAGTGGTATTCTTGTAGAATGAGGACTTCAGGAACAATGCTGTGCATTCAGGCCATGCACTTGTGGAGGAAGTGTCGAGATGAATTTTTTTAGCTAGATGCATCGAAGTACCACGTGAGACAAGACTTACAAAAAGCTCTGATTTTACAGCTACGGTTGAATGTGTATGAATGAACTTAGAAAAGTCACTGGAGTAGAGATTTTCAACGTATTGTTCCAGATGCTTTGAACACGTCTTTGGGTTTTGGTAGCGTTCAGTTGATAAATTTGTCGCATCCTTGTGCGTCCTGTTCTGTGCTCCAAAAACAGGTGGAGCTTTTCATCATTCTCCATGAGTTGAAGGAGTTTTTATTGTTGAGTGGGATAGAGGGGATCTGACATTTGGCAACCAGGTAGCATCGTTTGTGTGGTAGCTGATTACTTCTTGTTGTATCATATATCACCCTCCAAAACTTTGCCTACACAATCCATTTTGATGTACACGCAGATGCTTGGTCTAGCTTGGGAGTTCATTGGTAACTATCCACTTCGACGTATCAGGGTTGAAGAGCTCCGCTCTATTTGAAAAGTCCGGTCCCTAAACACTTCCTGCCATAATGACCATGTATGATTGATTGGTGGGATTCTACAACATGTGGTAGTGCAAAAGTGCTAACGCTCGTCTTTCAACTCAAGGGATTGACGACAATTAGTTCTTCTTTCTTAGTATCTTAGGACACGTTCATGCAAACGAGGCCGAAGTAGTGGGGGTGTAATTTAAGCTTCGGAACAAGGAGACAAGTGAGAGGTGGCAATTATCTCAAAGCATTTGTAAGTCAAAGCTTGCCCAATTCCAGGTTCCTGCCTTCTAGAAAAAGTACATGGCAGTTAGTCGTGCTTCATCAGAGTGACGGTCGTCTCATGTGTGGTGAAATGTTCACTGTTGATGAGATCACGGAAACATGGAGATAATGCCGTGCATCAATATACTTCCTTGTACAGAAGCAATACGAGAATGGATTCTAAGATATGTGTGGGAAGAAAATTTATTTCACTGGTGGACGGAAAAGGGCCATGGGGTTAAGATGAAGTAGAATCGGTACCATGCACAGACTTCAGTGTCCCAGACAGCTCAGAAATCAGTGGCAAGGATAGATGATCACAAGAAGAAAGATGCTGAAACAAGTAGTCATCGCCCAAAAGAATGCATCTACACTTTTTATTACCTCTAATCATCATAGAGTATGCATCTACACTTTGCATAACTTCCATCGGTTGTTCAGCGGATTGCAATTCACTTTTATAGCCTGTGCAACGAGGGTTTGAGGGGTTACAATGGTGTAATGAAGTGTTTAGGTTACACAGTGAGTGAGCATGTCAATAAAGGATCAACAACTTGCCGATAAACCACCAGTAAGAGTCGAATACACAAAGTATTCAAAAATTTACATGGCTTTCTAGGCTTCCGCCAATTCAAGTTCATCTTTTCTTGGACCAGCACAACCTGGACTCCTAAATATGGCACTTTTGAATCCTTCAAGGTTCCAACTAACTTCCAATTGGGGCATCCCGGTTATCCCTCTCATCATCTTAAAGACAGTGTTTCTTGGGCACATTACATGGTTCATGACCAACAGAGTAATTCTACAAAAGAATTTTCCTGGTTACATCGAAACCAGGAATGCTCCTCATAGGACAAAGGTGGAACCAGGGGAGAAATGAGTAGCGAAATCGCTTCAACATTGTCATCTGCTATAAATTACATGGAGTTTACGTAGAGTGGTTGTCGAAATATCTCATTGTAGAGCATCAATCACTTGACTACTCAACCGGGTGAACTTGCTTCTATTGCACTTCTGTGAAGAATGCAGTCGGCCTTCTAAGGTAATTGACTTCCTAAAATTGTGTAGGTCGATAGATGAGTTCCGAGCGCGAGACCTTTTCGTGCAAAAAACAACATAAACTGCGCAAAGTATCTTGTGTATCTTGAGATGGTAATGTCGTTAATGACCAATGTAGTATAGATACATACTTACTGTCGCGGACTTTGAGAGGTGTTACTCTGCAGACGTTTACATAGAAACTGACAAATTAACCGACAAAGTAACCATCCACATCTTCACGTTTGTTGCTTATTATAGTGCACCTGGTGGAGTGTGATGTAGAGAAGAACGTCACTTGGTCGCATGGTGCACACGGTTGCTACGTCTTTCTGAGAACATAGTGTCCTTACCAACTTGTCCATATGAAAAAGAGGTCCGACATTACCACCTGGCTGGATAGGACATACATTGTGTTGGCAGTTTCGGCACGATGCGCTCTCAATTGATTGTTGATTGCCGACTCCCTGATGTCACTCTTTCTGAATCCGTGCCATGTTCCATCGTAATCTACACCACTAGGTTCTCAATGTCCAGAGAACAAACCTCTGTACTTTGGGTGCTCTATCTATAGCGATAATTGTTCTCCATATTTTGGTAGGTAGATTATACACAAAACAGGATCTCAAATTCCCTTGCTACAGTCGAACGGATACTAGTACTGATGAGGTTTGCGGAACTGAAGGAAGTTATAATTTAAAATGAAAAATAACATATGGTGCTGCCCGTGGTGTGGGCACGTTTATGAATTCGCAGATGAAGAGCAAACCTGCAGGTCAAAATTGTGAAGTACAAGCTTCGATGGACAACGTGTGCAACTAGGATTCACAAATACATGCAGAAAATTATCTCCGCGATTACTGATGAAAAACGAATTTGCTGCTACTTTAAAGATGGTGAGAACCAGCACCAGTCAGGATACACAATTGCCTGTAGCAAAAAAGCCGAACCTCCTCAACCTTCCGCTTCTGTAATTACGCTATTATGATCACTTGAATTCACGCAGTGCTCACGGTTGACACGTCTTTTTAAACACTAGTCTCTATTTTTATCTATTCGTCCGAATGTGTGACTAGATCGACTGCAATCAAAACAATGCAGGGCATTTGCGCAAAAACAACCCTGTTTAGTTCAATTTTAAACAACCTATTTCTTTACCCACCTAAGATAGCTGAGGTTTTATTAGAAAATCTCGACCACCTCTAACGATTGACTGTCGCTAGCACTAGATGTTATGCACAACCTACAGACCTTTGCTCCTCAAGAACGCCTCCTGTGTCGGTTCCCGACCTAAAAACTCTCGCAAGATGACAGCAGCATCTTTGGTAGCTCCGGGTGCAAGAACCTGACATAGAACAAACTAAATCAGATTGGGATGAAGATCAAACCCTTCTGCAAGTGCATGTATTAAATGGCTGAAGGAGGTTCTTTCTAAAAGCAAGGCGTTAAGGTCCATTACCTCATAAAATCACATCTAAAATTAAAAATAAGCTGCAATAACATTCCTGAGGAAAAGCGACTCAAATATGCAACAATTACCTTGTCTCGGTATTCTCTTCCTGCTGACTTGCTTAGGACATTGCCTTTAAACTTGGTTTCAAACATATCTGCAGAGAAGACCTGCATACAGTCCATAGAGCGAGCTATTTAGCGTCCAACCCCACACCATTGCTTGACCTTAATAGGTACTGAAGCAACATTTATTGGCCCATAAACACACAACTGCGTATTGGAATTTCGAAAAGTAAATTTGTCACAAAAGTAGGATGATTATTAATCAAAATCTTCTCGTCAACGACAGTGGAATAAAGTTTTAGACCATGTAAGTTTCTCATAAAAGTACCCAAATTACCAGACAATTTTAAAAGAAGACTCTCCCAAGTGCTTCGAAAGCATGATAAAGATGAAACGAAATCGGATACGATAATTCTGTGTTGCTCGTCGAGGGTTGAAAAATAAATAAATAAATAAAACAAGTATCTATACCTCAGCCCAAAGATAACCATAATATGCAGCATCATAGCCGCCTGCCATATGACCAAACGAGGCGCTGAAATTGGTACCCTCCAACATTGGCAGTCCCTCCATCACCTGCTTATACATTAGCAGTTGATGACACGAATTGTACATGTTAATAAGAAATTACTAGATTAAAAAGTAGCCATTACTACAGTTGCTCATGTGAACCGCTGTGATCACAGATCTGAAAGATAATTACGGACAAAGAAAAGTGAAGGAAGAAAACCTTGGGCGTCAATTCCTTAAGGACGGCCGCTGTATCAGCTTTCTCACGCATATGTATTGACTGGTCGAAAAGCCCTGAACGTCCCAGAACAATTAATATCAGCAATACTGGTGTTGACTCATCACGGTAGTCAAGTAAACCTCTAGATGATAAAATTTTGAGAATGCCATTCCTAGAACGGTGTGAAACAATGATGCTGTGAGTTCCTCATAACAATGCATACAAGAAGTTTGAGTGGTATCTACCAAATAGTAGTTGTCGCTTAGTGAGAAGGCCGGAAAATGCACGTTTCTTCTGCATTAAAGCTTCAATTATTTCTTGTGGTAAAGGTTGATTCGTGTCCTGCAATGTATAACCACCAACGTTGTCAGGATATAAGCACCTCATAGCACAGTTGGCCGTCACATGGGAAAACCTATGCTCAAAAACAAACTATGCGGACGTTTCAAGGGGAGGGAAAACCAGCACACAAAAAAAGAAAAAAAAGAATAATAAAGGAATTACCTCATAGTGACCACTCATCATCTTCAAAGAAGCACTTTCCAAGCACCTGCAAAAAAACAGAAAGAAATCATGACGGAGCTCAATTCGTCTTAATTCACAATCAAATTGAAGTAAGGCCGTAAAGAGCAATGGTAACTAGGATGTAATATCGACCACTGAAAGACAACCACACCACATCCTCAAACACTTGGGTTATCCTACCAGTTTTCGAGCATCTGACTGGGAGCCTCCACAAAATCTTCTTCAACACGCAAGCCTGAGAATTTTGCAAACACTGAACGGCTGCAGATATGATGCATCTGCAAACAAATATAAAAGGGAAATCATTAAATTAGACTCAGTTATGCACTTTAACTACAGGTACCAGGATGTTTCGTCAACACTACTTATTGTACCCAACACAATCTAGCTCCATCATAATATGAACAGCATCGACCAACAGACATCCTGAACTAAATGGAAAAAATAAGAATAAACAAATGATTCCAGTCAGATGCTAACCAGATGGCCGAACTCATGAAAATATGTCTCAACTTCATTGTGACCCAGCAGTGAGGGCTTCTCCGTTGTGGGCTTAGTAAAATTTGCTAGCATTGCTCCCACAGGAAGCTGAATCAATGAACAGAAGCCATCAAATAAAGAACATGATTAATGCACCCAAGAATAGCAGTTTCGGATATTGTTGCATAACACAATTAATTCAGAAATTCCAATACGCGCTAGAGATAAAGAAGCAGCTTCAATTTTATGCCCAAATCTAAAGAAAGAAGAAAATCACCTGACGGGTTCCGTCTATCATGAGACACCCTGGCTGCAGTGAGCAGACGCACGCATGTGTATATTTCCCATCCCTAGCGCAAATTGCCGACAGTTAATTTAGAAAAAACACCTTCGCTCTAGAAATCAATTTTGGGATTTTGATATCTTCAGTTCGACATTACGCTAAGCCAAGATGAAACTGAAATGTTACAAAACCAAGATATGCAAATGATTTCTAATTGTGAGTCACGAAGTCTGAAATGTAAAAATATGACTTTCATCGCCTACCGAGGATGGAGGTCTAGATAAAAGTAACCCATATTCTCCCCAGTGTTCTCATCAGTAACAGAAAACTTCTGAACCTCTGGATGCCACACGTCCGGGTCTGAAACTTCCTTGAACTTCAATCCTGCAATCGCACAGACCTGCAATACTTAGAAACTAGTAGTTGGCTGCGAAAGAAGGACAAATTCGTACCATGGTGTAAATGAATTACATCGGACCAGAATGAAAAGACTAAAGAAAGGGAATAAATAGAGAAATTCTACCACATGAACAAGAACAGAATAACTTAAAGAGAGTTGTATATTGAGGCTTAGATACATGTACATATACATATACACTTCTACTGGAAAATAGACAAAAATGGAAGCAGGGTGAAAGCGTCATACCTAACAAATCTTGATAAATTTGAAGTAGGCCAGCAGTGACAATATTCAATGGAAAGTACTGCTTTACTGTCTCATAGTCCACATTAAAGTCAGCTTCTTCAGATTTGCGGATGTAGTACCTCATATCATACAGGCCAAAAGGTTCATCACCTTCCTCTTGTCTCTGCACATAAATGAATGGAACCATGTATTCACAACGATCATCGACTGAGCATTCACAACAATTCCGACTGTAAAAACATAAACGTATGACAATACCCAGAAAATAATCAATGGTGAGCGTTAGTGCAAGGTGTCCAACCCACAATTGAATACACATATTCATGTGTGTGTTCTAAAATGTTCCGCCTTGGACATGCGAAATACCTACATGCACTAATGCCTTAATTGCTTGCCGACTGAGCGGTTTCCAACAGCAACAGTACGTACCTTCATGGCTTCTAGCTTTGCAAGCTCCTTTTTCGCAAGAGGCGAGATTTTGTTGGAGGTATCTTCAAGAAAACTTTTCACCTAAAGAAGAGACACGAACGAGAAATTGGTCACATTCTACCCCAATCATGTCATCTAATATTTTCATGATTATCTCACGAATCAATCAACGATCAGGAATACAAAGGAGAATAAGCTATACCGTCACAGGAGATTTCGCCATGCGCGTCGCGATTGCATACTCTGCATGATTCTTGTGACCCAGCAACTGTGCCATGGCACTTCTCATCTCAATCTAGAGTCAATATAGACCAAGCCCAATCAATATCAGCCCATGAATTCAATTCCCATCATTCCAGAAATGCAGATGACAATGTTCCTTTTGGTCAAACGCATACCACTTTCTCCAAGATTGTCACATTTTGGTCCATGCAACGTTGGTCATATGCAGTTGCCATAGCTTTCCTCGTACTTCCAATCTGCACAGACAGAATAATGAAACCTTACCCATTAACTAGAATTTATGAAAAACCGCAAGTTTCGACCAGAAGAATATCCACTTCAAACTCATGAGGAGCGCGCATTTCGATATAGCACATGTGGCTCCTATCTCGAACAGGATAAAACAATAACCCGCCAAAGGCAGGATAATTGTTTTCACAAGAGGGAACTCGCTCAATAAAGAGCTTATTCAAGTTAAAAGGCATTACAACATAGATATTAGAATAAATATCATGATTTATCCTCTCTGTATTCAATGAACTGGGGCATTTATTAGAAACCGCCCGTAAAAACACCGTTAGCCCAAAGGTTTTCAATCGATGTACCTTGCATTTCTCCATAATTGGAAAATAATGCGGGTACTTAAGAGTGACCTCCAGCTTGTCTTCACTATCACGATTAAGTTCCTGAATAATTGCACCACAAACAAAGCGTTTAGAAAACCAATGATCTTGCCACAGATGGAGTTCGCGACAACCCGTACGAAAACATTTGAAATTTACTGATCATTCCACAATAGTTGCGGGTTTACAACATAAGAACCAGGCTTGCATTTCTCCAAGTATCAAAGGAAACTGAAATCAGTATTAGATTCCTGCACAAGCACAACCTTAATGAAGTCCGCAGGCAATCCTGCTAGCTCACTGTCTGTGAAATAAAGGCGCCGATTTTCTTCATTCATGTTCTTCTGAAATTCAATACAGAGCTCGCCAATTGTGGTCTTCAAACGCTCGACCTCCTTCCTTATTTCTGGAGATAGGTTCAAGCCCAACCTTTCATAATCTCTAACCTGCACCACATGATATCCATAGCGTTTATACCATACATTACGAAACAGGCATATCCAAGATGAAGCATAAATGCGTGGTCCAGGGAACAGGTACTCACCACACGATCCACAAATCGCTGGGCCTCAGGCTCTAAAGTTACTTTCTTCTCAGAAAAAGCCTTCACAACACGATAAACATCCTCGCGCATGCTGCATATTGCTCCAAGAACGTAGAATTTTAAGATATCCCACTACAATAAAGGTCTAAGACCTGCTAATCGTACTAGCCAATGCTAAATCACGAGCATTGTGTTTGGACACAGCATGCTAGACACAATAGAGTCCAGCTCACAATTAGATCACGGATTATGTAGCTACCTGCATTTCACATTATAAGCATCAAGTCTCTTCTCTGCCTCAGAACTAGCATCTCGTACTTCCTTGGAAGTTGATACCAGGGCAGGAAATACACAGCTTTGAACCAATGCAAACTCCTCGGCCTGTAGATTAGCCAGTGGGGCAATGACATTATCATAACTAACCTGTCACCACATCCAAAAAAATTAAACTCGTCAATCCTGAAGCTGTAACTGAAGCAGGTGAAAGTTGAGAATTTTTCTATTTTGTTTTTTTGCTTTTTTTCCTTCTGAATCCAGCATTCATCCTGTCACATATATGAATTTCAGATTAAACCACCATGATATGAAGGCTGTCGAATGAGGGTTTACTTGATCCAACGGAACAGCAGCAACCGCGTCATGAACACTCGTTGATGTAGAAATTATGAAATCCGCTAGGCTCAGAATTTCTGATGCAGATAACCCAAGACGAACATTGATGCCGTCTGAAACCGAAACATCTACCCTTCCATCCAGAAGCAAAAGGTTACTCTTGAATGCAAAAGAATAGCGACGCCCAATCTCACTTCATATGTACGTAGTGTTCCTCCAAATCGACTTCAATCAAAACTGTAAAAACTTGACTTCAATCCCTCTCACAAAATCAATAAATCCCAATTTGTCAATAAATTCACCAAATTACCAATCAGTAGGATCCTAATTCACTATAAGTCACGATTGGTTTTGCGATTCCTCTACGACACGTTAAACTCTAAGAAGCAAAATGACATGGCAGTGACGCCCAGAATTCCTTCAAACCCTAAACCCTCTCATTGCAGAATTCTCCCGCAACACTATCGAGACACATACATGCAGATGGGGTGCAAAACCACTCACATCTCCCGCTCCTTAAACCCTTACAATTCAACAAACAAGGTCCAATCTCTCCAGCCCTCAAACAATCTGACCTCCGCAGCCCCAACACCCCACACACCCATGACTCAAAGTCAACACAGAGATCCCTAGCTACAACCAGACCCAATTGACCCAAAAGAAGAAAAAAACACACAGTGATCAGTTAAACTCACCGGCATGGCTCCTCCGCACCATGCTCCTCACCATTCCGGCGGCAACAACAGTGCTGGCAGCTGCCGCGCCCATCACCGCCACGTCTTTCCACTTCACTATAACGCCTCTGGTGCCCACCCTAAGCCCCGAAGACGATCGGCCGCGGAGGAGGAGATCGGATTGCGACCATTCACGGGGGCAACAAGCGAGCCGCGAGGCAGCAGCAGCAGGGCAGCAGCTGCGGGTCTTTGATGAGGAGGGCGCAGGGGAAGAAGAAGAAGAAGAAGAGGAGGAGGAGGAGGGGAGCAAGTGGAGATGATGCGCAGCGACGATGGCGAAAAAGGGTCCGCCCTTGGCACGCAATGTGTGCTGCAGCATTCGCCTGCCCGGGGGGGCAACAACCGAGACGAGCTCCATCACCGACCCCGGGTTTTGAATTTCTCTCTTCTTCTGGGTTATTGTTGTGTATGGTGTACCGAGGTGCGAATTTTGCACTGCAGTTGCAAAATTGGGTTGTAGCCCTGTGGCCCCCAAGGGACCAATTTTCGCTTCCTCCTTCCTCCTCCTCGGTTGTTGCTCCCTTGCCCTAATTCCCCTCCCTGGATGCCCACCTTTTTCCCGCACACTACCACATCTTCCAGGTACTCTTTTCCCATCTCCAGCAGCACCGACAGGTCGAAGGTACTGTTCCTTTTTACAACCGTCTTTTTTTTTGTTTTTGGGTCTTTTTTGTCACATGCTCAAATCCCCCTCTCTTGATGGTTGCACGAGTGTGTATTTGTTTGGCTGAACCAAATATCAAATTTGATATTTGATAACCATTCTGTGAAAGTGTGCATGTCTGAGTGGATTGGTTTCCTCAAACTGGTACCTTTTAACTTAATGTCGTTACTTTACTGTTCACCAAATCATGGTTTAATGGGTACTGATTGTGTTTCGAATTGTTTAACTTAGAATATAAACTTCATCTCTATTGAACTCCTAATTTTTAAAAAAGATTAGAATTTGTATTGCAATACTCACCGTTTGTACTGCGAATTTAAATTGAGAAATTTAATCATCATAAACTTTGACACTTGTTAAAGATAACCAACAAGTATTTGAATAGACCATTTATGTTTCTTGTATTTCAAATAAATAGTCCACCTACAAAAAGAAATAATTAAATATACATATTTTTTAAATTATAATTTTACTTAAAGTAAATTTTTTAATGTAATATAACATAAATAAGATAAAAAATCAAAACATAACTACATTCAAAATAAACACACATTTGATGTTCTTTTACAAACTATTAGAAAATATATAAAACACTTTAACTAAATTTTATTGCAAATTAACTACTATATAAGTTATGTTATATTGCACTAATAAAACACTACACATTTTCATAAAATATGGCAATAAAACAATATTTTTGAATTTGATTGAATATTAATATTATTTTTAAGTGTTTTTTTAAATACTGACAAGATATTAAATTATATGGTTAAAGATAAAGTTATAATTTATGATTATTAGTTAATAAATAAAATATTATTATGTTTCTTGAATAACTCACTTAAATGTTATTTTTTACATTATTATAATTTTTATTGTGCCTCTAAAGTGATAAAAATTTTTCTCAACACATACCTTAAATAGGTACAAAACAATTGTATATATCAAAAAAGAATTTGATTGTATTTGTAAAAAATATCATATTTACTAAAAAAATTATTAAAAAAAAGATAGGTTGAAGCAATTAGAAGCTTTGGATGAATTTAGAAAAATGGCAACCTAAAATATAGAGGCCATTCAATAGCAAAGAAAGGTAATTTTTGATAAAAAGATTAAAAAGATGGTATTGGAGCCTGGTATGTGGATCATGCTTCAAGATGCACAAAAAATAAAATTTTCAAGAAAATTTGATGCCTTATGGACTAGCCCTTATGTTGTGGTGGATGTCTCCACCAACAACTCTATCTAATTGAAGACCTTAAATGGCTCATTATTTCCTATAGGAACTATATGAGAACATTGTAAGGAATACAAAGTGTGACAATAGGAACAAAATTCTTTTGTAGATTATATTTTATCAATGTCAAATAGTATGTTGGAGAAAAAAATCGAAGCTATAAAGGTCAACATTAATCAATCCTCAAGGATGGTTGATTGAGGATTTAATAGCAACCACAAAGCTGAAATACTAGCTAAGTGCCTCTCTTTATAATATTCTTGTTATTTCTCAATTTTTTTTTCTTTTTTTATTCTTTTTTTTTTTTTTTTTCATAGTTCAATAAGAGGATGTTAATATTATGAAATTAAGTGTGATAATATAATTTATATGGTATTTACATATTTATTAAAAATACATAAAAATAAAATATAATATGAATATTCTTCCATGTATTAGGTCCCAAACATACTATGGTGTCAAGGACAAGAACTCGATGAAAAAGCAATTCAGACAAGTGAGCCTTCACTCAAAGAAAGGTAACAAAATATAAATAAACAAGTATGTATATTGAAAGAAAAACTAGAATGGCTATTGCCAAAAGACAAGAAAACTAGAGACCCTTGAAACTAGACTGGAAGTAAGAAAGGACTTCACAAGAGTGAAGAAGGCTTCACTCTTGTCTCTATATATACTATCTAACTAGGGGCTACATGGCGACATTCTATAGGACCTCCAATATGTGTTGACTTTGTAGGACATATGCCTTGACTTACAAAGCAAGTTTTTCTATGTGTAGGCCACATAGTTAGCTTGATCTTCAAGCTAACAACATGTGTGGCACATAGCCAAACCACATTTCTAATCCAAAAAGTCAATTAAAGACACCTATGAAGTTAAAGCAACGTCTATGAAGCTTCTAAAAAGCTTTCATATTAAATACTATAGAATTAACTTACTTTTACCTATTTTTACTTACTTCCACCTATTTTTATATATAATTACTAGCTTACATGAGTATGTCCATGATATTACCTCCCCTTCTAGGGACGAGTTCCACGAGGAGCGGTCATCATATGTTGAGGAACTCTATGATGCGACGAATTGTATTTGCTACATATTCTGATCTTTGTTCTCTTTGAAGATGATTGATAGGGCCTCTCAACCATCGGTAGTATCCCATACCAGGGTGAGAAGACCACCTAATTATTTGATCATTGTTGAGGCCTTCATAACTTCCTCCAAATAGAACATTTGGAATACCATCAGGGATTGCTCCTACCTCTAGGAAAATCACCAAACATCGGGAGTCCCTTCTCAAGTCGTGATACCAAATACATTGTATTTCACCATCTATTCGAGGAAGAATATGTCATTCTTGAAGATCTTCATCTCGATTGCGTCGTCTTGAAGGTTGTGACAATCATAATGTCTCGTTTGACAAGTCAACAAATGAAGGCTCTTGAGTCGAATCCGCTAGTTATTGGTTTTCCATCTCATGAACGTCACAACTACAAAGAAGCTACGAACAAGGATTGAAAGTAGAATGTTATCTTGCCTAGATGTTGTTTCTTTTATAAAGAAGATTTTCATCTTGATTTTGATGGATGTCGTTGATGAAAAGCCTCCATCGCCTTTCCTGCATTTGCAAGATTCTTTATTGGCTTCCATGTGCGTTCACTAATATCATATCCGTGCCAATGGACAAGATATTCCAATTTATTTTGGCGTCGCTTTGAATCTAAGACTTCTTCTACTTCAAACTCTTCATTATTGTCCACTTCTATAGGATGAGGTGGAGCTTGTCGTCTTCTTGGTATGTCCATTGTTTTGTATGGTTCAAGAAGAGACACGTGGAATATTGGATGGATTTTCATTGACTCCGGTAGATATAAATGATATGCAACTAGATTGATTTGTACAGAAATAGAAAATGGTCTAAGTCTTCGATAGTCCAACTTGTCACAAGGATGAGTGGTCTTGATATTGTGACGAAGTAGCCATACCTTATCACCCAAAAAGAATGGTGGTTGTTCCTTTCGATAGATATCCGCATTGACCTTTTGTTGTTCTTGAGCCTCTTTTAACTGCGCCTTCATCATTGCATGTAGCTCTGATAAATGAATTGTCAAATCTTTCGCAGCAGGATTATCAACTTTTGAGAAGTCAAAAGTATCAAGTCGTAGATGATAACCATAATTAGCAAAGAAAGGTGTTTGTTTTGTAGAAGAATGTACAATGTTATTGTAAGCAAACTCTACCAATGGCAAAAGAGTTGTCCAATCATCTTATTGGTAGTTAATGGTACATCTTAAATATTGCTCCAAAACTTGATTAACACGCTCCGTTTATCCATCAGTTTGAGGATGGAATGTCGAAGATAGTTTTATATCCACTTTTAGAATCTTGAAAAGAGTCTGCCAAAATCTTGATACAAATTGAGTTCCCCTATTTGATATAATATCCTTGGGTAATCTATGATAGGGATAGATATTGTCAAAAAAGAGCTTAGCTGTTTCTTCACGTGTGATAGATTTTGTACATGGTACAAAATGTGCCATCTTGATAAAACAATCTACTATCACGAATATAGAGTCATAAGAACCTGAGATTGGAAGATCCATGATGAAGTCCATAGAAACAGAAGACCATGATTGTTTTAGAATGGATAATGGCTGAAGAAGTCCAAAAGGTCGATGACGAGGAGTTTTTGATCTTAAGCAAATATCACATGATTGTACAAAATCTTTGACTGCCTTTCATATTTGAGGCCACCAAAAATTCCTAGATATCAATGCCAAAGTCTTATTATATCTAAAATGTCCTACTGCTAGGAAGTAGTGACAAGCTTGAAGAATACGTAAATGTGCTTCTCTTTCTGGAACATATAGGTGTCCTTCGAAATAGAGTAGGTTATTCTTAAATTCAAATTTAGAGGGATCATGAGATTTAGAAGAATTATTCTTGATATCATGAACAAGAGAGTCTGAAGACATACTTAACTTGACTTGCTTAAGAAAAGTTAAATCAATAGTCAATGTTGATTTTGTTGCTCGAAGATGAAATTGCTCCGGCTTCAAGAGAACCATTTTTTGTTGCTCAAAAGCTGCATCTACTTCTTTTGGTGCAAGATAAGAATGTTTAGACAAGGTATCGGACAAACCTTGTTATTTTTTTGGCCGATAAGTGATGATGAACTTGAATCTTGATAAAGACATGCTCCAACGAGCTTGATGATGATTTAATATACATGTTGACATGAAATACTCGAGGTTCTTGTAATCCATTTATATGGTGACTGGATTAGAAGCGCCTTCTAGATAATGACGCCATTCTTGAAAAGAATCGATAATTGCAAGAAGTTCTTTCTCATCGATCTCATAATTGATTTCTACTGCTGAGAATTTTCTTGAATGAAAGGCTACTGGATGAAGTTTGTCATCTGTTTTTATTTGTGACATAACCGCACCCAAAGCAAAGTCTGATGCATCTGTTTCCGTAAAGAATGCTTTGAAAAAATCAACACGATATAAGATTGGTGCAGAAACAAACGCTGTCTTCAAAGATTCAAAAGCAACTTTTGCTTCTTGATTCTCTTGGAGTTTGTCTTTACAAGTCAAACGTGTAAGTGGAGCTACAACTCGAGAGAAGTCCTTAATGAAGATTCGATAGTAGTTGGCAAATCCCAAAAAGTATTGGACATCTCTT